CTACCCTTTCCCCTAATCTGGAACATCAGCCTATTTCATTTCTCAAAATCCCGCCCGAAGGCATCCCTCAGACCCTGCTCCTGCTCTTTCCTGTAAGCTAGCCACCTCTGGACACTGAGAATCCGACAGAGATGCACCCCACTCACACTCCACTGTCAGTGTCACGTCCTTGACCGCCTTGCCCTGGACATTGGCCGCGGTGCAGCGGTAAGTGCCAGCGAGCGTGCGAGTGACAGGACCCAGCAGGCCTAGCGCCAGCACTGCCTCGCCATGGAGCCGAGCACAGTGCACAGAGGGCGCTGGGTTTCCGCGGGCCTCGCAACGCAGCTCCTGCTCTGGGCCCTCCGGCCACGTCCAGCTCCTGGGACAGTCCGAATCGTCCAACCGGGGGGCGTCTGCGGACAGGGGTGTGGGGCGGACAGGGGTGTGGGGTAGAGAGTTTACACGTGGACCATGAGAAGGTTCCACTTCCACGACACGGCCAGAAACTGGCTAGGTCTTTGGAGATCTTTAGGAAGAAGGTTAGAGCTCAACTCACATAGGACTCGCAGCTCGGTGCTCTCATTCTTGCTCAGGATCTCCCCGTCCACCTCAAGGGTCGCATTGCAGAAGAAGGCGCGTCTGTCGTCATTCACGGTGGCGTTTAGCTCGAGCTGGGCGGGCTGTCCCGGGACTGCAGCTGGAACTCCGTCCAGAGTAACCAAAGCTCTGGCCCCAGCTGCGCAGGTTACTGTCACCATCTTCCCCTCCGGGACACTGGACTCGCTCAGAGTCAGGAGAGGCTCTGAGAAGCCTGGGGGTGGAGCATTTGCCTGGAGTCGATTGACCGCACACCTTATCTGCTGGGAATCTCTGTGGATACAGTGCCCGGCTTCTCGAACTGCTCAGACTCCACCCCTTCTCACCCCACCCCTTTGAGGTGGTCAAGCCATATTCCCCTTAAGGCGGCTCAGACTCCACCTCTCTCGCTATTCATCTGCACCGCCCCTTCGGTACTATCAGGCCCCGCCCACTCTTTGTCCCGCCTTCCCACTCCTCTGGCTCCACCCCCAAGCCCCCGAGGTCCGGCTTCACTCCCCTTACTGTAGACAGTCACGTTCTCCCGGGTCTCACGGGTCTCGCTCCCCAGGGTCATGTTGCAGACCAGCTGCCTGGTGCCTTCCTGCTCTGCGCTAGCTGTGGCTGTGGCAGTGGCCCTGAGAGCGTCCCCCTCCAGGGCGATATCCGGACTCAGTCTCTGGTCCCCCAGCGCCAGGTAGACCTGGGCCTCGGAGACTGGAAACAGCCCATCCAGAGCGCAGCTCACACGTCTTTCCGAGCCCACTTCCAAGAGCCGGGGGACAGTGAGGCGCGGGGATTCCGGAGGCAGCGCTGAGAGGGGGAGAAGAGAGCTTGAACTTAACGACTGAACACTCAATAGGTACGTACTAAGTGCTTTACAAGCACTGTCTTCTCCTGCCGTCCTCGAGACACAGGGAGGAAAATAGCTTTCAGCTGGTGAGTGTTGGCGTGAGGATTAGAATTCAGGTTTCTCTACCTCCAAACTCCTTAAGCATCGGGCGACCCCTCTGCATCCCCCTTTCCCCACACCCACTCACCGAAGGTTCGGAGCATTCTGGGGGTCGAACTGTTTTCAAACAGCCCCAGGCCGTGGGGTCGCAGGTCCAGCTCCACGTGGCACGAGAAATTGGATCCATGGTCCTCCCGACGCGCCAGTACTGTGGCCGTTAGCGCTGCGCCCCGCGCTCGGGGTGGCTCCCCGGAGAAGCTGCGACGGATCAGCTCCTGGGTGCCCCGCAGCAGAGTCATCGTGAGGCTCCCACGAGGCCCAGCACCAGGGACCCTACAGCTCAGAGTGAAGTTCTCACCCACAGGCTGCCAGGCAGGCAGAGGCAGCAGCTCTACACGATCAGGTCGCTCTGCAAGGGAGGAACCAAGGCTCTTGGAAACGCGGGTCTCGGCTGTAGGTGTAGTGGTACCCGGGGGCCAAGAGGGAAGGGCTTGGGGATCCAGAGGATGGAGCCTGAAGGGGCGGGCCTGGTGACCCAGGGGGGCGGGGCCTGCAAGGCAGAGCCGTGGAGTAAGATCGTGGCTGCTGAGAACTCACGGAAAGTACGAATGAGCCCACGCGCCTGCAGAGTGCGCCGCGCGCAGCGGAAGAAGCAGACCGGCTGGGTCTCCGGCTCTCGGATGTCCACCAGCTGCCGCGCCAGCCAGCGTAAACCCCTCTGGGTCCCATTCCGGCGGAGCGAGGTCTCCAGGCCGCCGCGCTCAGGTCGTGGGCAGTTGGTACTGCAGTTCAGCCACAGAGATCCCCCTCGCTCCACGAGGGCCACGCGGGGCTGCAGGTCCGCCCAGAAAGGCTCCTGAGCGACCACTGCCCAGAGAAATGCCGGCTCAGCGTGGGGAGCAACCTCCCCGGCGCCTTAGTGCCCCTACGCCGAGTCAGAAATTCCCGGGGAAGGAGAAGAGGACGCAGTGAGGAAAGAACTCAGGAGTCCCGTGTCCTGCTCAGGCCTCAGGTTTGGAGGTGCGCTCCCAAGGTGTAAACCTCGAGGGTGTCTCTGGGCCAGGGCAGCGGAGAGCTTTGGTCTCCAAGGTACCCATGGGGTGATGCGAAAGCATGGGGAGGGATGAAGGATGGTGAGAGGAAAGATGGGGTCTTCCACACACAGCAAGCAACGGCTGGCAGGAGGGCAACCCAGGTCGGGGAATGGGAACGAACTGGTTCTCTGGGTCATCTGGAGAAGGGAGACTGAGGTTGACATGAGGGCAAAGGAACATGAGAGAGAATCAAGGATGAAGGAGGATTCCAAACCCAGGTGAAGAACACGAAAAGAGGGCGCGGGACTAGGCTAATGGAAGGTACCGCAGGAACATCGAAGAACTCGGTTGCCAGGGCTTCGGGTGGGGAGGGAACAGCGCCGCTGAGTCACCGCAATTAGGGAGGACGGGTCTTCGCAGACCGCAATTGGGTAAGATGCCAATCCGTGTACCACGGTGCATAGCAAAGCGCCAGGAGGTACCCCGGGAAGGGACAATGGCGACACGGGGTCTCGGGGCTCAAGGTTGGATGCGGAAGAGAACCCAGGATCTCGGAGGGGCTACGGTAGAGATCTGGGCGAGGGAGGTGTTGGGAAGCTGGGTCTCCAGTGTGTTGGAGGAAGAGTAGAAAGCCCAGGTCTCAAGGTGGGGGCAGAAGCGTGGGAGCAAGGCGAGGGTGGAGTAGGGAGGGGCATGTGGCGGAGGTCAGGAACTCCGCCCCCGCCCTGTCTACCTGGAGCCGGGACCGGCTCTTACCTGAGAGGTCGATGAGCCCCAGGCCCAAGACAGCCAAGAGGACGAGCAGCGCCCAGCACAACCCTGGCGGGGGCCCTGGCATCGCCGCCGCGGGGAAAGTACCGGAGGAGAGGGGAGCTCGGGCGCTGAGCAGAGCTCGAGGACGGCGCGGCGGGTGGGGTGTGGAGGAGGCAGAACTGGGCTCTGGGATTGGTTTAACGTTGGTAACTTGGTTTCCAAGGAGGGGGAGGTGGCAGAGGCGACGGGGAGGCGGGAGGGCGAGTGTGTGCCAGGCTCCCGCCTCGGTGAAGGCGTGCTAGCTGGAGCTAGCGACCCCCGGGGTCTATGTGGAAGCAGGCCCCATCGCCCGGAGCCTTCTGGGGGCGGCCGCAAGCTCCCGCGTCATCCTGTCATCCTCAGCAGCCGTGATGCGGAGGTCGGGGGGGTGGGTGGCTGCTGGGTTGTCCTTCTCAAACTCCCACTCCACCCGCAGCTTAGATGCTGTGATAAATAGCTGGACTCGGAGCTCCGCCCCCGTATTTTGCTCTTCCCACCAATGCCCCTTGGAATTGGTTTGCGGGCTAGGAGAGATTTGGGAAGAGAAGGATGGGTGGTTAGGCACAGTTCTAGGGGCAGGTGTGAGATACCTCCCTCCTAGACCCTTCCCTTTCAGACCTGGGGAAGCTGGGGATTACAGCACTGCCCCTAGTCCCCCTCTGGCTCCGCCCCCGCACGCGACAGAGGGGCGGGGACCAAAGTCAGTGAGTCCAGAACACTTGTGCCTGCGCGCAGCATTTGGGAGTCTAAATTAGGGTTGGCTCAGCTCAGGGTCTGTATTTACCCAGCGTGCAGCCCGCACGTGTCTACTCAGCGTGTGCGAGCGTGAGCTGCGGAAGAGCGCCCCTGAATTCTCTTTCCGCGCTGTGGGCAGAGCCCTGGACCACACGGGCCCTGCCAGGCATCCAGTGCGGCCTCAGATTGTATCCACATGAGACCAAAAGACCAACTGTGACACTTTCGACCCTGCATCCGGGCCCCCAAGTGCCCACCAGACCTAGTGATTATCTGAACGTTGTCAGAAAGCGAGTCATTGCCACCCCACGTGGGCCAGCTGATTGCTACTTTCCTGCAGTCAACACATGGGCACCTTTTTGCCTATCCCTCAGTTTGTCCACGTGATCCCGCCGTTTTGAGCTCCTGCCCCGGTGCTAACAAGTGAACTATGGGAATCAGTTCTACATCCACCCTTGTCCTCCAGGACTGTGCAGGGTCAAAAGTGAAAAAGGAGGAGGAAACGGAAACGTGACATCCAATCAGAGCTGCTGCGTGGTAGCGGTGCAGCCAGTTAGCAATAACCGTGTGGTGAAGGCGCCCGCCCACAGCGCAAGAGGCTCCGTGGCCCAGGCTTTGCCTGTGTGCACGGCACTGATAATGCTCACAGGAGAGGTGTTTACTGCATGGGCTGGAAATGCACAGGGATTGGAGAGGCCAGGTGGCCCAACATGGGAAAACCTCAGGTACCTTCAGGGAGACAAGGAACTTGGAGAAAGTGATTGTAACAAGGCCTAAAAAGACCACTTCTGGGAGACAGTACACTAATGGGGGACCTTCAGGGCGCAGGACAGGCTGGCTGAAGAAGGCTTTATTGATCTAGGCAGAGGTCTCCAAATTGTTTCGGATTCCTTTTTGCTCTCCCGCTCAGCCGGCTCGGACCACCTCTTCTAAGCCCGGGACTGCATCAGTAGGTACTTTCGCAGACAGGCCGCCCCCACGGCGAGAAGAATCCCCACAAGGGCTGCGATGCAGGTGGAAGCCAAGGCTTTGGACCTAGTGCTCCAAGCTGGGGGCAGGAGGTAAGAATTATTAGAATGGAGCGGTTGTAGGCGTGACGCCCTGCGTGGAGCTCGGGCTTTGCCAACACATCCTCCTGGGATCAAAACCTTTCCCCACCCCCCCTCAAGTCCCCAGGATTACAAGGGTGCCTCACTCAAGAATGACAGCGCCATGGGTGCTGAGCTGCCGTGGACCACCAGGCCGTCAAGATTGAGATGTGCGTGGCAGGTCACGAGCTGTCCGTAGTCATTGGGTTTAGCTGGGAACGCGTATGTCAGCGTCACGTTGGCCAGATCCAGGCCTGTGAAGCGCTCCAGGCTCTCCGAGTAGATGACCCGGCCGCTGCGCCGCAGAGTCACCACCAGGAAGCGCACGGGGAACACGTGTGTCACGTGGCAGCGCAAAGTGTGCTCCCTGCCCTCTAAGACCGGAGGCTCCAGGATCACGCTCTGAGGCCCTTCTAAAGCAAGAGGGGATCGTTGAGGAAGGTCTGCGGGCGCCCCCTAGCGCGACTGTCAACTGCCCCATCTCTGTCCCCCTCCCTTGTCCCCAGCAAGTCCTGAACCCATATCCCTCACTGTAGGTGTTGATCCTGGCTGTGGCCCCTCGCGTTACTCTGGCGCAGGTGACGAAGCAGCGCACGTCGGAGCTCCAGGTCCTTACATCTAGCAGCTGGAATGAGACCCAGTTGGGTCCGCTGAGCGTCAGGCCGCGCCTCAGTCCAGTATGGAGGACGGGACTCTCCAACAGCGGGCAGTTGCTGCTGCAGTTGAGCCACACTGAACTCCCCAACTCCACGGTCATTAATTTGGGGCTTATGCTCACCCAGAACGATGCTGTGGTCTCTGAGGGCATGGGAGAGCTGCCTCCTCTGGGGCGTTGAGCCCGCACAGCTCGGTGCCTCTGTGCGCTCCCACCTTCCAAGTAGGGTGCTGCCAGCAAAACCAGCAGCGAGAAGCAGAGCAGAAACCCCATGGCCAGGAGCCCGAAGTGGGGGGCCCGGGGACAGAGAGCCGAGGCTGGCTCAGTAGATAAGGGAACCCAAAACTCCGCCTCCTCAGCCCCACCCGGAGAGACAGAGGCTCCTAGAGGGACCGGAGCCCTGCCATATACACCCTCCTTCCACTCAAGAATGGGATTCCAAACCAAAGCTTCTCACGTTTTTCCCAGAGAGAAGTCTTTAATTTTCCTGGAAGTCTCAAAAGGTCCTAATAAGCCTGAATTTGGATCAGGGCCTCAGGGTTGGGCCTTTAACAGCAGGCTTTTCTTGGGGGAGGAAGTGGGACAGGGCTGTGGACCAGAAGCTAGAAAGGGCTCCAACTGAAAGTGACACCTCCTCTCAAATCACACAAGGCTGGGCCGCATGAAAAAGAGTCATTAGCACATGGGAGAGGCTTCCTGAGATGGGAGTCAGTCCTCCCCACTGCCTGCAGGACCCTCCAGGGATTTGGAGCTGCCAGAGTTCTGTTCTTAACATTGTCCCACTGAGATGGAAACGAGAAGGACAAAGCAGGAGGCACAGGGGTTGGGCACACTTTCATGAGAACCTATGGTTTATTTGTAATTTTATTGATTTTAGAGAGAAAGAGGAAGGGGTATAAAGAGGGAGATTAATTTGTCATTCCACTTATTTATGCATTCACTGGTTGATTCTCTTATGTGTCCTGACCAGGGACCAAACCTACAACCTTGGCGTATCAGGATGATGCTCTAATTAACTGAGAGCTACCCTGGCCAGGGTGGGACCCCATGGTTCAGCTGTCAGGGAGTGGGCACTCATTGAGGCATGCCACTGAGTGTGAGCACTCACAGAGATGCGTATGGGTGGAGAGGTTAGCACCAGAGCTGGGGATTAAGAGCCCTGTGGGTTGTCCCTGGGCTTGTCACCAGCTAAACCTTGTCGATTTGCTAGTCCCCTTCTGGGGGAAAGCAGTTTGGCCCATGGAGTAGGAGATTCCACCCAACTTGATCTTTTTACAAGGCTCTCTTGTGCAGTGCATAGGCAATAAAACTGCCCCTGACGACCCCGAATGAGATTAGACCGAGAGTTTCCTGAAGGCAGGAACTTCTGTTTGTCTTGTTTACCATTCCACCCCACATAAAAGGTACTAATAAATATCTGGAAAAAGAACAAACGAATAAATATATCATCATCCAGAGCTGGAGCCCGTCAGTAGGCAGCACTGCCAGAGGGGGCCTCCGTCAGAGGAAGGTGTAAGAATTTGTGTTTCAATGCTGCCCATGCCTGGGCAGGGCCACTTCTCTCTCAGAACTTTAGGGCCTTAGTTCATGCAGCAGGGGGAATTTCAGTGCTTTCCCGATGGGTGTCCCCATGTTGAAGGTACATGTCTCCACCACACCTCTCGGGCCTGGTCAGCCTTTGACACCACTGACAGGTGTGCCCCTAGCCTTGCCCTGGAGTCGTGGCTCAGTCCTGTGACTACAAGTCCAATGTGAGTCCTGAGTGTGCAGGTGCCACGACCCTCAGTGCTGTCTGTCCCCTGGCTGAGGCCTCTGTCCTGTGCTCCAGCATCCCAGGAAGGTGGGGACAGCGAATGGCAAATGCCTACCACTGTTCAGTGTAGCCCCACTGCCACGGGTGGTGGCACCTGTCCAGGGGCAGGCTCAGGGGGGTGTGTTCAGCTTTATGTTACAGGCTTCCTGGGCCTTCTGTAGCTTGTATTCCCGGATTTTCCGCTGGCGGTTATAGAAGTAAGCGGCTGTGACCACAGTGGCCAAGAGGACAGCAGCTGCCACCAGAATGATGACAACTGTGTTATTCTGGTCCTGGTCTGTAGGGAGAACAATAGGAGGTGAGGACTGAGCTGGGTTCACTGCCCCTGCCCTGCCTAGCCCAGCCCTGCCCCGAACACTGGAACACTTACAGTTCACGCTCACAAACACTTCACGGGTGACCACACCATGATAGCCGCTGGCCTGACAGTTGTAGGTGCCCGAAATATTCCTCATGACAGTCCTCAGGACCCCAATGGGCAGCAAAGCCTTATCCTTTGTCCGGTGACATTTCACCTGGGGGGTGGGGTTCCCCCTGGCCTGGCACTTCAGGGTCTGCTGGGAGCCTTCCTGAAAAGTCCAGTTTCTCGGGCAATCACTTTCGAATAGTCGAGGGCCATCTGGAGCAAGATGAGGGACAGGGGTCAGGGACCAGAATACCCCTCACCACGCAGGACTGGAGGACTTAGGTAGGGAACCCAGGGTGCAGGTGCGGTAGGCCCTGGAGGAGCTTATGAAGTCTAGGGGCTGGGCCTTGGTGGTTAGAGGTTATTTCCCCGCAGCCCCACTCACACTGGACAAGGAGCTTCTGGGTCTTGTTCTTGTACAGCTTCATCCCGTTCACCTCCAGGACAGCAGAGCACAAGAAGTTACGCCCGTGGTCCTCCTCACTGGCATTCAGTGTGAACTGGGCACTTGAGCCTAGAGGCCCGGCTAGGGCCCCATTCAGCGTCACCACGGCTCCAGGATGGGCTTTGCATTCCACTGTCACCATAGTCCCCTCTGGGACCTCCGACTGGCTCAGGGTCAGGTTGGGAGCTGGGAAGCCTATAGGATAGGCACACAGTGAGCTCCACCCCTAGTCCTGGCTCCACCCCTCAGAAGCCCCACCCTGGTCTCTACTTACTATAGATGGTCACATTCTCGATAGTCCTCCGATTCTGGTTTGCCAGCGTCACCGTACACCTTAGCTGCTGGATGCCTTCCTCCCCTGCATTCACCCTGACCAAGGCAGTGGCACAGAGGGAGTCACTGCTGTACTTGACTGTGGGTTCCAGCCTCCGGTCCTTCAGTGTCAAGTAGACCTGGGCCTCTGAGGCCGGGAACAGCCCATCCAGGGTGCAGTTCACAAGCGACTGTGTACCCACTTCCATGATTCGGGGAGTGGCAAGGCGTAGGCCAATCTCTGGCAGAACTGATCAGGGAGGAGGGGTGTGAACAGAGGGGACTGAAGCCCTTTTCTATAGCATTTTCATCCCAATACCTGGAACTCCTCTTCTTAGGAGACTCTGTGACCTTGGTCATCTCTGACCCGGGACACTTGACATCCCTTACCCTGGGTCACAACCTTCTCAGAAGATCCTGTGGCCCAGGCACCCCATTCCCAACACCCCACCCCAGTGGCCAAGAACATGGTCTTCCCAGAAGCGTTTGCAATGTAGGCCGCTCCCTTCTCAGTACCCTTAGAGCCAGGAGCCCCTCCTTCCCCCAAACTCCACATCCCAAGCAGGAACACCACCTGAACCTGTCCCCTTGCAGACTTCCCAATGCCTCACCGAAGGTTTGGAGCTGCCTGGTAGCTGAGGTGTTCTGGAACAGTCCCAGGCTTTGGGTCCGAAGGTCCAGTTCTGTACGGCAAGAGAAATTGGCGCCATGGTCCTCTCTGCGTGCCAGCACTGTGGTGGTGACCTCAGCGGGATGTCCCTCCACAGGCCACCGGTCCAGCACCTCCTGCCCTCGGAGCAGCACCACGGAGAGGTTGCTCCGGGGTGCACCTCCCTTCACCTTGCAGCGTAGGGTGAAGTTTTCACCCACAGGCTGCCACTGGAGCAGGGGTGCGAGCTCCACATGTTCTGGGAACCCTGGGGAGAGGGAAGGAGGGAGTGTCCTGTGTGCTGGGCAAGACACCCACCAGCAGGGGGCGCTGGGCCAGTGCAGCCTTACCACTCTCCCCCCACAAACATACCCCAAACCACCTAAGCCGTACAGGAATGTTAAGAACTTCAGGGGAAACCGGCGAGTAGTCCCCAAGTGGTTGCGAAGGGGCAAAACACTTCTTTATTTACTGTAGCATCAAAGAGTGGAAAGTGGAAAAGAAACTCAGAGCCTATCACCAGGAGTCCAGTGGAACTGCACACAGTAAATTTCAGCTGCCCAGTCCACTGCGGATTGTTTTAGAAAGACCCCTGCTCCCCCCTCTCCTATCTTGGCTTCATTTTTTTCTATAGCACGCCTCACCCTCTGACATACAAGGTCATCTACTCAGTGAGCTTGTTTCTCCTCGATTTCCCCTGTGGAATGTCAGTCCAGGAGGCAGGGACCTTTGTCTACCTAGTCCCCATTGTGCTGCTGGCACACAGTAGGCACTCTGTATTCATAGAAAGAATGAGATTACACCACACACACTGATTTGAGGTCTGTCAGGAGTTTGCTTTTAAGAGAAAGGAGTTCCTGACCGTGCTGTGCGATCCCCTGAAGTGTTAGAAACCAATGGACACTCACAATGCAACTCTGAGCGGCCCCTGAAAACACAGCCTGCGGGCTCAGTCTTCCCAGGTCAGGCTGGTATCTAGTCTGAATCAGGTAAGAAAATTCTGAGCCAGTGAGATTTTACAGTAGAGCCCTGGTGAGCTGGGACTTAGCACTGAGCCCCACCCTCCCTCGCTCCCTGGCTCCCCAGGAAGGCATCTTGAGGGCTCTGGGTCACTATTCCCTTCTCAAGAGGCCCTGAAATGTCACTTGGCATTGCTGTTAAAATGTCAGGGGCTTGGTTTTGGTTCCTAGTTTTTCTGCTTCTTTGCTATGGGCTGTGGATAAAGGACTTTGCCTCTGGAATAGTTCCAGCCCTCAGGGCTGCAGATACTGAGCCTCAGTTTCCTGAGCTGTAAAGTGGAGCTATTGGAGGTAGGTATTAAATGGAATTAATCCATTTAAGAGGTTAAGAGAGTGAATGTAAATGGACATAAGGTTTCCTTTTACGGTAATGAAAATGCTCCAAAATTAGATAGTGGTGATGGTTGTACAACTCTAAACACTAAAATTCACTGAACTGCATGCACACCTCAAAGCTTCAAAAAAAAAAAAAAAAAGGCTGAGAAAACTCAGACATCCAGCTCTGACATTTAATCATCTGCTGCAAACCCCAACTTGCAGAGCTAGAGGCTCCCTTGAACCTCAGCCCCCACACCTCCAAGCCCAGCTCTTCGCCCTAAAAGCCAGACTGAAGGAAGAGGTCTGTCTTGCCTGTACTTCTCCTTGACCCCTCACCTCTGTCTCTTGCCAAGTCCTGGTCACTCTGCCCTTCAAATATTTGTCTGTGCTTCCCTTCCTGTACACAGCCACTACCCACAAGAAATGTGGCCTGGGCCGGGCCCCTGTCCAACTGTTCCCTGGCTTCCCATAAGTCCAGCGTCCTGCTATCTAGATCCCTGACCTGCTCACGCACCTTTGAAGTGTGGCTCCCTATCACCCTGAGGAGAAGGTCCCAACTCCTCAGGCTGGCATTTGAGGACCTGCTGGCCTCAGCTCCAGCCTCACTGGTCTGTTGACGTCCAGCCCCTCCTGCCCTCCCAACTACAGATTAGCATGTTTCCTCACTCCAAACTTCCACCCATGCTGTTCTCTCTGCCCAGAATGCCTGCCTGCCGACTCCTCTGCACTCTTCAACGCCCAGTTACCGGTCACCTCCTGTAGGGATTACCACTCGAACCTTTCCAGAGAAAGCTTAGCCACCCAGGGACATCCCTCAGCTTTATGCGGAGGGTAGGGCAGGACTGCCACGTCCACTGCCGCGTCCACTGTTGGATCCCTCTCTCCGTGACAAGGTCCTGAGAGGGGGGTGTAAGACTTCAAGGAAGCAGTTTCCAACCTGGTGGACGTGGCATGGAAGGCCTTGCAATACCTATTGTGATTGTGCTTGCTTTGGAGATCATGACCTTTTTTGCTTTAATCATTATGAATACCCTGGCAGTGATTCAGATAGTGTGCCTGGACCTTTCCCGGCTCAATGAACGGAATAATAATATCATACTAGAACGTCAGGGAATATAGGCACAAGGAAACAATCAGAGCAATCTGAGAATTCAAGCTTAATCAATAACAATCATTAGAAAAACACCCAAGATAAGATAGAATACTCTAGGAAATCAGGAGATGATCTCACTACTTTCTTAGAAGGAATCAAAGTACAAAACATGTCTATAAAAAGAACTCCTAGAGAAACTTAAAAGAAGTACCCTTGAAAGCCCCCTGCAACATAGGAACAGCTCCTCCTTTACCTTAAATAGGAATATATATCAACTAGACAGGCAAAGTAATAACAAAAGCTAGTTAGTTATTACAAACTGAACAGTCACTAGGGAGTCAGAATTTATGGTACACAGAAAAAACATTTTAAGCAAAAAAAAAAGTAGATAGCTAAGTTAGACATCACAAGGGCCTTATAATAAATCTCCTATTTTCTCTACTCAGTCTAGCGTATCCTTATGCCCTATACCAAATTCTGAGAAACTTTAATATACAATAAGATATTTTTAACTGTCTGATTAATGGCTCTCCCAGTTAAAATAATTTTTAACTAAATCTATGGGAACTTTTGTACTTTTACTGATTACCTTTGTATTGATTTTTTCTGCTTAAATGATCATGTTATACTGCAAATATTAATCACTACCTGAAATGAAAATTATAAAAACCTGCTTGTACTTGCAATAAACGGAACAGAGCTTCACTGTCCTTTGAGGCGTGTTGTCGTCTGTTACCCAGCGCCGACGCCTTGCCCTCACCTGTGGGACCCCCTGACCCGCTGCGGCTGGACCGCGGCACAGGACCAAGCCAGAGTGTCTCCTAGACGACACCCCTGCCACTGTGTGCCAGCTGCCTGCTCCATTTCACAGAGGTGGAAACCAAGGCAAAGTCCAGTGCCCAGAGTCACAGAGAGAGAAAGTGGTAGAGCCAGGACTCACACCTGAAGTGCAGGGCTTTCCACTGTCAGGCCGGGCTGGGCATGGGCCTTCCAGGAAGTTTCCCTGGGGTTTTCAGAGGCCACTGGGATGTTTGGGGACTTCCCTTCCCTGGCCAGCATCTGCTCAAACATGCTCCAAATCAGAAGCAAAGCTAATATTTGCCCAAAGGCTTCCTTGCCCTGACACCATGAAGATGGAATGTGCTGGTCGGTGTGGCTCAGTGGATTGAGCCTCAGTGGGCCTGCGACCCAGAGGATCGCAGTTCGATTCCCAGTCAGGGCACATGCCTGGGTTGCAGACCAGTTCCCAGCAAGGGACCCATGAGAAGCAACCATACATTGATGTTCTCTCCCTCTCTCCTTCCCTTCCCCTCTAAAGATAAATAAGTAAAATCTTAAAAAAAAAAAAAAAAAGATGGAATGTCCTTCATGCCTCACTGTGTCATTATATCCATCCCAGGAGGTCTCATGTGGAATCAAGAAGCCATGTCCCCCAGAGTCACCCAATCAGTAAGAATCATGTTGGGACTATAACCCGAGGCCGTCTAGTCCTAAAGCCACTTGGCCAGTGTCCATCTTTCCTTCCTTTCTTTTTGTTTTGTTCTGATTTGAATTTTATTTATTGCCTACAGTCATAGCAACTCATTCCCACAGTTCAAAATGCCCAAAGGTTAAAAAAACAAAACAAAAAAAGGCACAAGCAGAAAAAACTCACCTTCTACCCTTTCCTAGAGCCTCCCGCCCCCGACTAATATAGTCATTTCTTTCAGTGAATACAGCCTCCTTCACCCCACTCCAGCCACTCCCTAGTGCCCAGGGTGGCATGCCTCTCATTCTGGGCATAACTTACTTCTTTTGAACTTGACCCGTTTAGATCCTTAGAGCACATTCTCTTTGGGGACACAAGGAGCTTCCTCATTCTTGTGCACTGTTGCATACTATTCCATTGTTTAGTCAAACCACAGTTTATCTGCCAGACCCCAACGTTTGAGTGGCTTGCAAACTTTTGTCCTTTCACATAACACAGCAGTGAGCCCTGACTGGTGTGGCTCAGTGGATTGAGAGCCAGCCTTTGAGCCAAAGGGTCATCACCAGTCTGATTCCCAGTCAGGGCACATGCCTGGGTTGCAGGCCAGGTCCCCAGCAGGGGGCGTGTGAGAGGCAATCACACATTGATGTTTTCCTCTCTCTAAAAATAAATAAATAAAATCTTTAAAAGAATCAAATAATGCAGCAGTGAATCATCCCATCCCACCCTCAGTTCCGTTGTGGGGGGAGACATGTAAGCCCAATTCCCAGGATCTGTGTCAAAGGACACACCCCTGTATTGTTTGCAGAACTGAGGCCCCCTTCCCTGTCTGAAGTCGTGCTTCTTTATGCTCCCACACTGTCAGCAAGGTCCCAGGACAGCCTGCTGCCCTGCAGTCTTGACAGCATAGCTCTTATCATTGTGGTCAATATGTGAAAAAAGCCACTTCAGAGCTAGTTTTTAATTTGCATCTTCTTTTTTTTTTTTTTAAGTCAGATCTAGGGCCTTGTCAGAGGCCTAAAGAGCCAGTACTCTCTAATGTGCTGAATCCTTGTTGATACTCTAACTGCACCCAAGGAAGTTCAAGGAGGGGTTTTAAACAACAAGGAAGCTTTCTGAGGATATGCCCACCAGACCTTCAGTGACACTCACCCTGGCCCCACGTGCCCCAGCCAACATGCCCCATTCAGCCCCAGGCCCAGCAACTCACAGTACACAGTAAGGGATACTGAAGCTCCGGTCTGCTCGGCACCACAGTTGGAGAAGCATATTGGAGAGCTGTCGTCTTGTATGCCACTAAGTTCATAGGTCACCCAGTTGTTCCCCCTGTTCACTACTCTCTTAGTCAACGGAGTCTCCAGACCCAAAGTGGCATTTTGATCACAGGTGGCAAGGCAGGTCACGTTCATGGAGCCTCCTTGGGGTATGATGGCTTCCTGGGGTTGCACTGATGTGTTGGCACTTCCAGCCCCTGGAACAGAAGTGTGAAGAGGAGCTTAAGGCATTAAGAATTGGGGTCAACAACATTCCTGGGTACCCAGCCTGTGCTGGGACATAGCCTTGAACAAGATAAAACTCTGCTGTTAGTGTGGGAGAGAGAAAAATTCCTGAGCAAACAAGATAATTAATAACTGATGCTAAGCAAAACTGACAAAAACAAAACTGGGTGGTAGAGTAGACAGTGACTTGGTGACAGGGTGATGTGTGAGCAGATATGAATAACAAGAAGGGCCATCCAGAGACAAGGGCAATGAGTTCCAAGTGCAAAGGTCCTGGGGCAGGGTAGCTGGAGCCAAGTCAGCAAGGGGAAGAGCTAGGGGAAATGAGGTCAGGGAGATCACACAGGCGGTACATAGTGAGCCTTGCCAAGGATGTGTTTTTCACACTGAGGGCGATGGGGAGCCATGGGAGGATTTCAGCAGAGGAGGAACGTTGGCATCAGTGTCCTCACTCCCACAAGGTCAGGTGGGGGAACCAGTCCTGAGGGGATAGAGGAGTTCTGATCAGGCTGGTTCCTCACTCCCTTTGACAAGTGGTCTCTCCTCTTTGGCTGTAAGGCGGGTGAGTAGAGTTCCCCCAAACCTGATAATGAAAGTAACCCCTGAGGCAGGGCAAGGAGCAAGAAGCTGCAGGTAAGGCAAGGGATTATGTTAGCTCCTTTAGACCTTGGTGCCTCCAAAGCTGAAAAACGTCTGTCCTGTCTGAGCCCTTTTGTCCTACCCTATTCCCAAAGATACCTGCCCTCAGCTTTGGGCCCACTTTATCTAGCGGGGAGGGATGTGAAAACAGTTCTCTGAGGGTGGTCCTGGGATCAGTGTCATTTCACAGAGGGAAATAGTGAGGCCTGAAGAGGGGAAGTTACCCAGCCAGAAAGTGGTAGAATCTGACGGCAGTCTGCATGAGAACGTTTTGCAGAACTGGTAATCATGGTCTTCATCTTCCACTCTCCTGCTCCCCAGCCCTGACCACCTCTGAGACTCTCTGTCCCTCTCCTCTCCTCCCTCCTGGCTGGAGTCGGTGGAGGGCCGCTGGGGAATCTCACTTCTCAGCCTCTGGTCCTTGGGCAAGTCAGGCCTGGAATTCCCCTGAGCAGAAGCAGGTCTGGACTTCCCCAAGGGCAGTAAAGGAGAAACAAAATGTGCTTCGGGTGTGGGGGTCCCCAGCCTGCTCCGAGAGTAACCACACTCATACCACCTGACTGCCTTCTGGTGCTGTGTTGGGTCAGGACACAACCAAGGCAAGGTGGCCACGATTACTTTATCTCCTCCATTTTACAGCTGAGAGTCAAACCCATGACAGGCTGGCTTTTTTTTTTTTATGTTTTTAATTTTTTTTTTAAGAGAGTGGAAGGGAGGGAGAAAGAGAGGGAGACAAACACCAATGTGTGGCTGCCTCTCATGCATCCCCAACTGGGGACCTGGCCTGCAGCCCATGCATGTTCCCTGTGGCCTGATTGGGAATCAAACAAGCAACCCTTTGGCCAGCACTCAATCCACTGAGCCACACCAGCCAGGGCTCTTATTATTTTTTATTATTTTATTTTATTTTTACTTATTGATGACAGAGAGGGAGAGGGGCCAGGGGGAAAGGAGAGGGGCGAGGGAGAGGGAGAGATCGAGAGAGAAACATCATTTGTTGTTCCACAGATTGATTCTTGTGTGTGCCCTGATCTGGGATGGGACCTGCGACCTTCGGGTATCTGGAAGAAGCTCTAACCAACTGAGCCACCCGGGGTCTGGCGGTGGACTTTCAATGGGTGGCTCTAGCTTGAACTTCCCCTACACAGCTACCTAAATACAAATAACCTGGTCCCCAGCCCGCTGCGGCGCCCAGGGCGCTGGCCCGACGACATCCCCCATCCTCGACTCACCTGGGAGCAGAGCCCCGAGCAGGGCCAGGAGCACCCGCAGCAGAGATCCGATGGCCATGGGAGCCGTAGCGACCTCGGCAGGGAGAAACTAGCAACGTGGAGGCGAGCAGGTCGGTTCGCTGGCGCCGACTGGGCGCCAGGACTGCGGACGGGTCCTTTTATAGAGCGGTCCATCGCGGGGCGAGGGGCGGTGCGGTCTTCCCGGAAACCTCGCGCCTTCCCCTGCCGAACCAGGGCTCGGCATTTCCGGGCCGGTGACGCCTCGCCCCTGCGCCGCGGCCCCCTAGCTGGTCGCGGGCCGCCGGCCCCGGGGGCGCCGGAATTTCCGAACTGAAGCAATGAGGCCACCGTGCTGGCAGCCATTCGGGGGCTGCCCCAGACGCCGGGGGTCTGGTTTTCGGGCCGGGTTAATTTTCACTCTGCGTGTACGGTGAGCTGACAACTAGCCTAGAACATGAGGGACTGTTACTGTGCCCATTCCAGAGAGGGGTAAACTGAGGCGGGCCTCTTGAGTGAAGTGGTTGATCCCTCGCTGATGTGGGGGCCCGGGAATCCTCACGGGCAACTTCCATCAAGTGTGTCCCTCCCCGAAGGGGCGTGTTCCGACCCGGCGGGAACGCAGATTTCCCGAGAAGAGCCGGAGCAGGCCCAGACACCTCCAGGCGCCGTCCGCGTCACATGCGGGCGTCGTCACATCCCGAGGTCCGCATCCCCCCCCATGGGCGCCCCAACTCCAGAAGCCTCGCTTCCCCTTTCGGTGGTGGCCGCGGGGGCGTCTTTGCTGCTTCCAAAAAGGGGAAGGAAGCCTCGCGGTGCCAGCACGCGGCGCTCCCGCTGCCGTTCCCAGGCTCCGCGGGGGAACGGAGGCAGCGCACCCAGAGGTCCCGCCTCCCCGGGTAGGCGCTGGAGGCCTTGCCTTTCTAAGGGAAACTGAGGCAGCGCCTAGGCTCCGAAGTGGGACAGGGAGATGAAGACGTTCAAATGCCTGCCTGCACTCGCGGCTCTCGAAACTCGAACGCCAAAACTTGAACTCCGAAATTCGAACCCCAGACGCTAGCATTAAATGTGTGCCGAGCTTTATCCGGGCTGCTTCCATTAGGGCGATGGGGGCGTGTCCGCCGGGTCTACAGGCCGCCCCCACGTCCTGCATCCCCGAAGTCACAGCCCCTGCGCGCGACCGCGGGACTCGTCATCCGCCCCGGGAAGGCTGCAGACTCTGGGGTCTCCCAGGGCGCCAAGTCGCGCCACCCAAGCCTTCCTGTTGTGGGGCGCACGCTGCATCGCCATGGAGACCTCCGAGGGGCCAGGGGTTCAACGAGCAGAAGGGGAAGGGAGAGGGCCCGGGGAAGCCCCCGCCCTTCCTCCCGGGGATGGGGCTGCGAATCACTGGTCGTCCAGAAACCTGCCCCTCCCCCGGCCCCGATGGTTCCCGAGGAATTTCCACGGGGATCTTTCTTCCTGGGGCGGGGTGGAGGCACGTGGAGGGTGCTAAATCCTGCCCTAGAATGGCCTGGGCAGAGGTGCAGAGTAGGAACTGGGGATGTCCTTGCCCCTCCGAGGCTCTGGGAAAATCCTACACGGGGTGTGATTTTCCGGCGGATTTTTATTACGGTTCACATCACCGAGACCCTTGGCCTTGAATCAAAGTACTGGGGCAATAGTTCCACTGCGCAGCCTAGGTACCCACTGCAGCCAGAAAACTGTGGTTCTCTCTTCACACCACTGCACAGTGTTCAAGACAGACAAAAATTTTTGCCATCGTGCTGAGATGGTCTTAGCGGGGACAATAGACAGGAGATAAAGTAAAATAGATGAATTGTTAGCTTGTTATTAGTGCTAAGGAGCAAAAATATAGCGGGGAGGGGAGACGAAATAGGAGGATTAATGCACTTTTAAGTATTCTGGGAAAGACTAAGGTAACATTTGAGCAAAAACCACCGGGAGGTGAAGAGGGAACGGTGACAATATTAAGAGGGTGACAATATCAGGGAGGGGACACTGTAGGAACTGCCTTAAGGAAGTCAGAAGGCCAGCATGGCTGAGGAGCAGGGAGGAAGGAGGGGACTTGGGGGAGAGGAGGGCAGGGACGGGTTGGGTAGAGCATGTCGCTGCTTGTCTGCTTGGGGAGGTGAGGGACTTTGGCTTTTCCCGTCAGTGAGGTAGGGACCAGGGCGGGTTCTGAGCAGATGGGAGGCAGGCCAGCCCTGATCCAGGTATTTACGGGCACCCTCCTGAGACTGCCGAGCTCCAGTCAGGGGGTGGGAGGACAAGGTGGAAGACGGACAGGAGAGGAGGTGACTGCTCTAGTTCAGGCAAGTAATGACGGTGCCCAGACTGGACAGTGGCGTTAGAGAAGTGGCAGAATTTGGCATGTGTTCTGGTGGCAGAGCCAACTGGACTTGCTAGAACATGGGGCAGAGCAGAGTCAAGGATGAGTCTTTGGGGTCGTTCTCTGAGACTCAGGGAGGATGGAGGGCCATCTCCTGAGTGCGGACGAGGTGGTAATGAGGGGCAGGCTGGCAGAAGGAGAATGTACCTCCCCATCTTACACTCCCTTTGCATATTTCCTTTTGAATATTATTTTTTTAAGGATTTTATTTTTTTCTCAGACACAGGGGGAGGGAGGGAGGGAGGGAGAAAAACATTGATGTGAGAGAGAAACATTGATCAGTTGCCTCTCACATGCACCCCCAACTAGGGACTGACCCACAACCCAGGCCTGTGCCCTGACCTGGAATCAAACAGGTGACCCTTCAGTTTGCAGGGCAATGCCGAACCCACTGAGGCACATCGATTAGGGCTTTTTCGTTTCTCTCTCTCTCTCTCTCTCTCTCTCTCTCTCTTTCATGGAAAAGGGAAGCACATAGTACCCAGCCCTTTTCTGTAGTCTCCAGGAAAGGCAGGGCTTCCTCCGGGGTGTTGGGCAGTCTCAGGCAGACCAAGAATTAGCCAAGGGCAGAAGTATGTATGCTTAACTCCATGGCTTTATGCTTGCTCTCCCCTCACTCTGAGCTCTGGCATGGCCACCTTGCTGTTTCCTCAGCCTGGAAGGCTCTCTTCTCATCCCTGACATAACCTGCCCCTACACCCTGGGCCACACCCTCTTTGCTTCTGTTCATTGTCCTATGTGTTCATTATGGAACCTCGTTCACTTGCTAAGATTCTTTGATTTACTTAATTGCCTGTGACCTCCATTTCTGTGAATTCCACAAAGGCAGGGAACCCACCCTGTGGAATAAATTAACTTCTCTTGTCTTCAAGCATTCTGTGTATGTTGTTCCTCCAGCCTAGAATTCCCTTTCCACCACTTTTACAGAAGGTTCCCAGAGCATTTCACTCATAAGGGTGGCATGCAGGTGGTCTGAGAGGTGACCCCAGGCAACACCTGGGGCATGGGGAACCAGGGAAGGGAGACAGCAAAGGTGAGCACCAGGGGATTTCCCCTTTGGGGGCACCTGGAGTTCCTCTCACTGGGGAACTTTAGGTGATGGGTAGACTCCACCAATCTTGTGCCTCATTGGGTAAAGGCTGCTCCAGAAATGTCAACTCCCCAGTACTTCACATATGTAATTTTTAAGTCACCATGTTGTGCATTATACCCCTAGCATTTATTTATCATATAACTGGAAGTTTATACCTTTAGACCTCTTTCACCACCCTCTCACCCCCATCTCTAGCAACCACCAGTCTTCACTCTGTCTTCATAAGTTTTTTTAAAGAGTCCACATACGAGTGGGATTGTGCAGTGTTTATCTTTGTCTGACTTTACTTCACTTAGCATGATTTCTTTAAGGCCCATCCATGTTGTCATAAACAGCAAGAGCTCCTCCTTTTTTCATGGCTGAATAGCATCCCATTGTGTGTATGCGAACCACATGTTTTATTTTTTTAATTTAATTTATTTATCTTTAGAAGGGAAGGGAAGGAGAGAAGGAGGGAAATATCAATGCATGGTTGCTTCTGGTGCATCCCCTGCTGGGAACTGTCCTGTAACTCAGACGTGTGCCCCGACGGGGAATCAAACCGTGATCTTTTGTTTCACAGGCCCGTGCTCAGTCCACTGAGTTACATCAGCCAGGGGGTGAACCACATGTTTTTCTATCCATCCGTCCATCCCTGGGCGCTCAGCCACGTCTCGGCTACTGTAACGATGCAGATATCTTTTCCAGGTACTGATGTTGTTTCCCTCAGATAAATACACAAAAAGTAGAATTGCTGGATCATATGGTAGTTCTGTTTTTAATTTTTCAAGCAACATTCACACTGCTTTCCATAGTGGAAATTTCATATTTATGTGAAACTGAGAGAGAAATAAGTTCGTGTAACATGAAATTCACATTTTTACCTTTTAAGGGTTTTTAAAATACATTCACTATCTTATACAACTGTCACCACTATTTAATTCCAGAATATTTTTATTGCCACCAAAAGAAACCTAGGACCTCCCTGTCCCTCCTCTCCCAGCCCCTGGAAACCACTAATGTACTTTCTTTCCCTATGGATTTACATATTCTGGTCATTTCATATAAATGCACTTAAACAGTATAAGATCTTTTTTTCCCTTTTTTAAAAAAAAATATGGAATGCTTCGCGAATTTGCGTGTCATCCTTGCGCAGGAGCTGCGCTAATCTTCTCTGTATCGTTCCAATTTTAGTATACATGCTGCCGAAGTGAGCACAGTATAAGATCTTTAAAAAAAATTTTTTTTTATTCATTTGCCCTGGCTGGTATGGCTCAGTGGATTGAGTGCTGGCCTAAGAACCTAAAGGTGACTGGTTTGATTCCCAGTCAGGGCACATGCCTGGGTTGCAGGCCAGGTCCCCAGTGGGGGACATTAGAAAGGCAATCAATTGATAGTTCTCTTGCACATTGATTTTTCTGTCCCTCCCTTTCTCCCTTCCTTCCCCTCTCTCTAAGAATAAAAACAAAATCTTTTTAAAAAATCAGAGATTCTTATGCCCTGGCTGGTGTAGCTCAGTTGATTGAGCACCAGCCTGCAAACTAAGGGATTGAGGTTCGATTCCCAGTCAGGGCACATGCCTGGGTTGCAGGCCAGTTCCCAGTGGGGGACACATGGGAGGCAACCACACATTGATATTTCTTTCTCTCTCTCCTTCCCTTCCCCTCTAAAGGTAAATAAATAAAATCTTTAAATAAATAAATAAAATGGAAAAAAGGAGATTCTGATGTGATAGAAACATATTTTTTATTTACTTTTAGAGATAGGAAAAAGGAGAGAGGGAAACATCGATGTGTGAGAGAAACATTGATGAGTTGCCCCTTGCACACACCCCAACCGGGGACCAGCTCATGACCCATACATGTGCCCTGACCAGGAAGAGGCAAGTCTCACTCTGTGGGAGGATGCTCTATCGAGTGAGCCACACCAGCCATGGCAACATGTGGCCTTTTGTGTCTGACTTTCACGCAGCATGATGTTCAGAATATTTACCATAAAGATTCGTCCACGTCATAGCACGCACCAGTCTTTCTTTCCTTTTCTGGGGTGAATAATATTCCATTGCGAGGATGTACATTCAGTATATCATCTGTATATCCATTCATCTCTAGATGGATGTTTAGGCTCTTTCCACCTTTGGCTAATTGTGAATAATACTCCCATGATCATCAGCATACAAGCCTTTCCTGGAGTCTATGTTTTCAATTCTTCTGGTATACCTCATTCCTGTTTATAGTTGAATGGTACTCAATTGCATGTAGACATCACATTTTGTTCATCCATTCATCGGTCAGTAGAAATTTGGGTTGTTTTCACCTTTTGGGTATCGTGAATCGTGCTGCACTTAGTACTCATGTACAAGTTTTTGTGTGAACGTGTTTTCAGTTCTTTGGGTATATACCTGGAAGTGAAATTTTGGGTCACATGGTAATTCCACGTTTAACTTTTTGAGGGACTGCCAGACTCTTTGCCACAGTGGCTGTACCATTTTACATTCCCACCAGCAACTGACAAGGGTTCAAGAGTTCCCATACCCCTACCCCATTTTCCCATACCCCTGCCAATACTTATTTTATGTTTTATTATTGTTAATATTGCCACCCTAATGGGTGGGAAGTGGTATCTCACTGTGGTTCCCTGGTCTTTCTGACTTTCCCAGTGGACAAGCCCAGCATGGTCCTGCAGCACAGGAAGCTGGGGTTTCCCTGTGACAGCAAATGTGAAGGGGATGTGGCCAGAGTGCTGAGAGTGCCTGCCACAGTTGTAACCTTGAGCAAGCACTTTCCTTGGTTGTGCCTTAGTGGCCTCAGCTGTAGAATTGGGATGATAACACATACCTCAAAGGGCGGATGTGAGATTTCAGAAAGACAATTCATGTGCAGTGTTTGGCATAGCCATGTGCAGAGTAAGAACAGATGGTAATGCTTACTGTGTTTCCTTAGGACTCAGTTCTGAAAATTCCACCTTACACTTCGAGGCAGAAATACATGTTTCCTCCTCTGAGTTCCCACAGATCTTATTCATACTGGCATACAGCTCCCCTAGTGGCCCTAGGGTGTAAAGCAAGAATTCATGAAGTTTGGGTGTCAGAACAACCTTGCTTTTCCCTCCATTGTTTTGTTCTTTAGAGGAATCTTGCCCTACCCTGGCTGAGAATTCTGCCTAGGACTCAGGCCCAGGTTATCATTACATTCCAATTTCTAAACTTGACTTGGTGTCTGATGGGAGCCTTGGGTTAGGGGTCTTCAGACTGGCAACCTCAGTGGGAAAGAAGGGTTTGGTCCCTTTGCCTTGACCTTCTTTCTGCTTGCCTTGACCCCTTTCACCAGCCTTCAAGTCCCTCCTGCCCAGATACAGAGAGGAAGGGAGAGAGGAAAAGACAAGTTTCTCCTTTGCTATGGGTTTGCCCCATGACGCAGCTGTGTTAAAGTGGCACCCCCTGGTGGATTTGGTGGGCCTAGTAATACACATCACTGGGAGCTTTTCCCTCTTCGCTGGGTTCAGGCATCTTTGACCTGGGTTGGGGCTCCTTCTCTAGGCCCTGGGATCTGGTCCTATCATCCTGCCCCTCCCAGGGGGTCTCCAGGTCGACTGAGCATCAATATGCAGACCCTCTGGTTCCACCATCAGAACTGCCTGCCTCTTGCCCTCTGGGTTTCCTGGGGGTCAGATCACAGCTTTCCTAGCCTGAGTCCTGGTGGCCTTAACAAAGGACATTTTTCTAAACCTGTGAAGTCCTCTCCCTCCCTGTGCTCTGGGTTAGCCTCTATCCCAAGAGGGTGGGACGGGGACTTATAGGTAGCAATAGCTCCTCCTGAAAAAGATGTTTTCACCCATCTTTCTTTTTTTAAGGGATTTTTTAATTATAGAGATTTTCAACTATGGGCAACAGCAAAGAGAGCATATGATGAAGCCACATGTGCCAGCTTCCACAGTTCTCACAGCTCCATCTCTCCCCTTACATGCTGCATGGGTTCAGTTCTTTCTCCTCCCTGCAAAAGAGGAAGGACGGAAGGGAGAAAAGAAGGGAGGAAGATAGGAAGAAGAAACTCTTAACTCCCCAGTACCTATAAATGTGACCTTGCTTGGAAATAGGGTCTTTGAAGATGATCAAGTCAAGATGGGGTCATTAGGGTGCCCTAACCAACATGACTGGTGTTCTTATAAAAAGGATAAACTTGGACAGACACATACACATGGGGATCCCATTTGAAGATGAAGGCAGAGATGGGAGTGATACATCTATGAGCCAAGGGACACCAAAGGTTGCCAGCAAATTACCAGAAGCTAGGGGCACGGTATGGGACAGATTCTCCAACATGAGTTGATCTTGGACTTCTGGCCTCTAGAATTATGAGCTGATACATTTGTCGTTGGCCCCTCCCAACCCGTGGTACTGTTATGGCAGCTTGAGCACTCACTCCCCCCGAACCCCAGTGATTGAAAAGCATGTTCTAGGTGTCAGATCTTTTTTTCTGATGCCTTTTCCCATTCTGATCTGGCTGAAGGATTCCAGTATAGGATAAGTTTCCGGCCCATTTCTTGAAAATCTGTTGAGCAGGGGTTGGTTTTACCGTTTCCTGGTGGCTGTGATGTCAACAACTGGGCCCTAAGACCTGCAGCTGAACAGACTAGGCTAGGTGCTAGGACGACAGCTGGGTCTCGCTCTGGGCCTCGATGCCCACAGGGCCGACCAGAAGCACAGGGAAAGGCAGGCGGGTTTGGCTAAAGCCCACACACCATTTGCCTCCTCAGGCCTTTGCCCCTTACCACCGGGTCCAAGTGATTTTTTAACTTAGTCAAATCTGGTTTAAGGGTCAAATTTTTTTAAAAATTTATTTATCTTTAGAAGGGAAGGGAGGGAGAGAAGGAGAGAAATATCAATGTATGGTTGCTTCAGGTGGCATCCCCTGCTGGCAACTGGCCTGCAACCTAGGCATGTGCCCTGACGGGGAATCAAACCACGATCTTTTGGTTCGCAGGCCCGTGCTCAATCTACTGAGTTACACCAGCCAGGGCTTCATGGCTCAAATTTTATGTCTAATGAGGATTTTCAAAGAATGTGTTTCAAGCTCTGAAGTCACTCCCAAGAGAGGCATTCCAGAGATGTCTTTGGTGAGGGACAGCCCAGCTGATGGGTGGTCACTGTGGCTGCCTGGCCAGGCTCACACATGCAGATGACCGTTCTGGCTGACTTCAGAGACACCGGCCACATTATTTCACAGTCTGTTTTATGACTATTAAAAAAATTAACTTGGCCCTGGCTGTTGTAGCTCAGTGGATTGAGCACAGGCCTGTGAACCAAAGGGTCACTGGTTCAATTCCTAGTCAGGGTATGTGTCTGGGTTGCAGGCCAGTTCCCAGCAGGGGATGCACGAGAGGCAACCACACATTGATGTTTCTCTCCCTCTCTCTAAAAATAAATAAAATCTTTAAAAAATTAACTTGGGGACAAGTGACATCAGCAGACTCAAAAATTAGCATACCGGTTTGATGTTTTTAAAAAAATGTGTTTATTCTCTCGTTTACTAACTACACTGATTCTGAGTCTGTGCTTGGGAAGCTCAGGTTTGCATATGGCACTTAATTGTGGAATCAAGCCTGCGCATCAAACTGAAGGGCCCTAACAAATGGGTCTACAGACTCTGCCAGGAAAGCAAGCACAGGACAGTGCCCGGGAGCCAGGAGGTGCCAGGAGGTGCCAGGAGCAGCTTCTAGGGAAGGGCAGTGCTCCTGCTCCTCTGTGAGTTCCCAGAGGCTGAGTCACCCTAGGGAATTTGATTCTGGGTCACTTCTGTAAATAGCACTGAAATTGACCCTTGAGGAGAGAGCTACCAGCGGTGCCCAGCACCGGGGAGAGCCCGAACTGCTAGATGGAATTCTTCACAACATGGCAATGAGCTGCTGTTTCTCCTCTGTAATTAAAAAGTAAAGTTTATCTTAAAAACAGAGAAGAGAATTGGGTAGGAACTTGATCAGGCTCTTCCCAGTTCGGATGCCTGGCCAGCCCAGCCACTCTTCATGGCCTCAGCTTCCTACTGGGAGTCTGGGCATTGCTGCTCTTTCAGGGTGGGTGCAAAACTGGCCAGGGTTTTGGCCTGGCTCAGAGCAGGTGTCTGGTATAAAGAATGGTGTAGAAAGGAAGGCAGCTGGTGGGCCCTGGGGCACAGGGTGGGAGCTCAGGGGAAGTCACAGTAGGGCAGGCGGAAGGGGTAGAGGGGCGTGTAGCGTGAGTCGTGCCAGAGCAGCTTCTTCTCCAGGAAGGCGACAGTCTGCAGGGTCAGGACCAGCGTTTGGTGCTTCAGCATGCTGTGCACGTTCAAGCCTGGGGGGCAGGAGGTGCAGTCAAGGTGGGTCTATACCCCGCACCTGGAGCCCCTATTTATCTTCCCAGGAGCATTCCCCCTTAGAGAGACACCATGGTCTGGCACGGGGTTGAGAGCCCCACAGCCTGGGGTAAAAACCTGGCTCAGCAGCCTACTGCTGGGAAACCCTGAGCAAGGGTCCAACCCATCAACTTCTGACTGACAGCCTCCCATGTGCTCAACTCTGGCAAGAATGGGACAAGCCAGGTCATGCAGGACCTGGTGGGTCTCGGGTAGCACTTGGTCCTTCCTGAGTGCAGTGGGAGCCACGGAGGGCTGTGGGCAACAGAGGGATGTGCACGGACTCGGGAGCTCACAGAGGCACCCTCTGGCAGCTGCGGGACAACTGTCCCAGGATGAGGGCAGAGGGGGCTGTGCTGATATAGGCAGGGGGCTGGTCCAGGGTGGTAAGAGGTGATGGGACTCTGGATATGTTTAAAGACAGAGCCAACTGGGTGAGCTGACTGACCAGAGTGGAGGGTGACAGTGTGGGGTGGGCCTAAGCCACTGGAAGGAAGGAGAAGCCAAGATGCCTATGAGACTCTCTTGTACAGCCACCTGGGGGCAGCAGGACATGCGATTGGCAGAGAGCTCTGCAGTCAGTCAGCTTGGTGATGGGTGTGATGTGCTCAGGCCACGCCTGCTCCTGTCTCTCCATCTCTCTGAGTGAGGAGCCAGGGTAGGACAATCAGTGGCCCTTGCATTCACTCCACTCCCAGCACTGTGACCTGAGCTTGGACAAATGTGATATCAGAACATTTAAGGAAAACAACATTCTCCCGATGTGCTGTTTGGGCCAGCTGAGGGTCAGCTAGGGTGGTCACTGTTGAAGGCCACTCAGTGATTAAGAGGCAGATACAGGATGTGAACTGACCTGTGTACTCCCTGGAGTCCTGAGGGTGGACTGGTGCCCTTTACTCACCCACAGCTGGAACCAGGTTGAAGGTCTTAAGCCCCAATGCGGCTGTCACCATGTTCTGAGGCATGTCCTCATGTGCTCTGAAACAGAGGCTAGGGGGTGAGCCCTGCGCAGGATGGAGCTCAGCCCCTCCCCCACCCCACTCTGCACCGCATCCTCACAGGTCCACCAGGAGCACAGAATCCCCCCAGCGGCGGTAGCAGGCCAGCTCCTTCAGGTACTGAGGGTCTGCGGTTGGGAGCTCCAGGGAGTCCACGATGTGCAGGTTGTCCTGGTGGGAGGAAAGGATAGGTGTCCAGAGCCACCAGAGCCCTCTGTGCTCCCCAGCCCTCAGCCCACACCCCCAGGACCCTAGTGGCTCCCAGTGCAATCGGGGCTGTACCTGGGCCAGCTTGACAGTCAGCGCCACCTTGAGGCCCTGCACCCGCACCTTCATGGGCAGCATGTAGTAGTAGCTTGTGGGGCCCCGGGGGCCGTGTGCAACACCTCCTATGGGGACAGAGGCAGGTAAACAGCTGGGTGAGGGCCCAGCTGGACTTGGTGGTCAACTATTAGCCCCAACAGGAGGTATGGGGGTGAGGGTGAAGAGGCTGCCAGCAGCCAGGCTCAACTCCAGCAAAGAGGGCAGGGCCTCTGGTTGGAATGGAGAGGGGAGGCCTGATTGGGTATCACCTGAGACAGGTGACTTCACCTCCCTGGTCCTCTGTTTCTTCAGCCATCAAGCCCTGAGTGAGGGCTGTCTCCCTGTGCATCCACCCTCTACTAGTAGAGTGTGGCCCTGGGAGTGCAGCAGGGAACAGGACTGAAGGACTGTGCCCCCGCACCATTCATGTTCATACACAGGCTTGATCGCAGAGGGAATCGGGGCTGGGCATGGTAGCATAGGACCTGTGGGGGTCGGGGAGCAGGAATCTGAAGGAGGTCAGGCAGGGCTTCCTGGAGAAGGTGTGGCTCAAACATATCCAAAGGATGAGCAAGTTGGCCAGGCTAGTGGGAGATGACTCTAAGTCAGTGCCATCTGGGCAGAATGGGGTCCACAGCCACCAGTGCCTGGAATGCCAGAGTAAAAAGCTCATGTATATACAAAGGCCGCAGGAGGTGGCAGGGCTGGGAAGATCCCTCTGAGTGCCATGTGAAGTGTGGGCCACGAGAGGTGAAATGGGAGGTGGGGCCAAAAGGGGTTGTGGTCACAGTCTGATGAGAGGCTAAGGCCAGTGCCAGCAGAGGGTGGGGCAGGGGTATGGGGAAAAGCAGATGATCTCAGATCTCTGCCTGCATGTGGGCAGTGAGGTGTGTGGATCTGAGTCCTCCAGCCCCGCCCCAGGTGGGCTGATGAGAGGGAGGGAATGAGACCAACAAGACATCATGGCAGATGTGTGTAAAGAAACACCTAGACCCTGAGTTAGCCCGGAGCCTCCTCCCCACCCTGCCAGCTTACCTCCTCTCCAGATTGGTGAGCGAATGCTGCCATGCCTCGCACGCCCACTGCCCTTCTGTGGCCAGGGCTTCCGGCCACCACCCCGCACCTCAGCTCTAGTCTTGGTCTTGGCGTAGCTCTGTGGGGGCAGGTTTATGAGGCAGATGTCATCTCAGCCAAAAGGCACCAAGTCCAGGATTATAGGGGTGACTCGGCCTATGGGCTTGCCACTGGGGAGCCAGACTGGAGGCACAGAGATGGGGGTTCCATTGGGACAAGCACAGAGAACTGAGGGAAGGATAAAGAAATCAGGAGTTCCCTCCGCCACTCCAGAACATCGGCCTCAGAAAGACAGGGGCTCTGCTGTGTGGCACACAGTAGCTGTTCAGTATTTTTTAATGATTTCACTGCGGCTACAACTGAAAGGAAGGTGGAACCTGAGGAAAGTCATGGCTAGAGAGAATGAGGGAGAGGTGCAGGATGAGGAATCACGAGGGACTTTCAATGCCAGGCTGATGAATTGAATCCTAGGGAGCCAGGGAGGGTGTGGGCAACAAGGGGAGAACTCTCTAGGCTTTTGAGGTGGGCAGATGGAAGGTAAACAGATTCTGATTGATTATGGATTCTTCAATGATCTTGGCATAAATTCCAAGGTCCTCACCATTGCTCCTGCTGACCTCTAGGCCACATTGTGCTGTTTTTAGTCCCTGCCACAGGCCCTTTGCATGTGCTGTTCCCACCACCTCCACCCCAACCCCACTATCTTCTTTACCTAGTTACTCTTATGCACCTCTGAGGTTAAATACCCCTTTCTGGGGAACGACTCCCCTAGCTATACATTTAGAGGTATGACTACTTGATTCATGTTCACCTCTCCAATTAGACTGTGAACTTCGTGAGGGCAGAGATCTCTCCTGTCTCATCCACTAGCACAATGCCCAGCATGGTGTGTGTTCAGAAAATGCCTGGCAAATGACCCATCAGTGAATGGTTAGGTCACAGAAGATGTGCCTGAGAGAGAAAACACACTTACAAGGGTTCCTTTGCCCACCTCATCCCACTCAGGGCACTCACAATACCCCACTCTGAACACTTACAATTCTTTTGAAGTTCTTCTGCCAGATGGCGACCTGATGCAGGATATCCAGCCTGTCGAAGAAGAATACACAGAAGGTCTGCCTCCACTTGAAACCCCCCCACAGTCCCCACCCTACTAGATGAAAACCCAGGCTCCTCCCTTCCACCTCCAGGGCTGTGAGATACACCGGGTTTTTTGTTTGTTTTGGTTTTTTTTACCCCAGGTCTCACCATTTTCACCCGCCCCCCCCTCCATTCCATTCTGTGAAAGAGTCTGGCCTCCAGCACTTGCAGTTTCCTCTGTCTGAAATACTCTTTCTCTGGCTGGTTCCTTGTCAGCATATAGGTCTTAGCCTAAACATTATCTCCCAGAGGGGCCCCCTGGCACCTTCCTACCAGTAGTTTACCTAATGCCACCTTCTTTACAAACTGGTTTGACTCTTTAGCCCTGTATTCATACGGTAGACAATGACCACATGTGTGGCTACCAAACACCTAAAATATGGCCAGTGACACATGCTGAAATGACATTTTAGCTATATCAGTTTAAAAAAAACATACGACTGAAATCAATCTCATGTCGGGAGCCGACCAGCAGCCGTCCCTTGACGCAGTCGGGACGGATGAGATGCATCTGCACAGCAGAGGACACTGTGGCTGGACTTCCTGTCTATCTCTCCCTTGCGTGTTTGTCTTTGTGATTAATAGGTGGTGGGATTTTTAGACACCTGCATTTCAGGTCCAATGATCCACACAATTCCAGTGAAGTTATACAAAATAATTTTTTTGGCCAGAGAACAAAGTCCCCCCTAATGAGTAGCCCCTGAATGTCTAAAAGTTGATGGAGTAACACCCCTCCTCTACCTTGGACAGGGATATATATTAATTAGAAGTAGACAGGCAAAGAAACAGGAGAAGCTGGTTAGCTATTACACACTAAGCACGTAGAAACAATTAGCAAGGAGTCAGAGTCCATATTACATAAAGAAACATTTTAGACAGAAAGATAGATAACTGAGTTAGACATCACAAAGGCCTTATAATGAATTTCTTTTTTTAAAAAATATTTTATTTATTTACCTTTAGAGGAGAAGGGAAGGAGAGAGGGAGAGAAATATCAATGTATGGTTGCCTCTCATGCGTCCCCTGCTGGGAACTGGCCTGCAACCCAGGCATGTGCCCTGACTGGGAATCGAACCTCGACACTCTGGTTCACAGGCCAGTGCTCAATCCACTGAGCTACACCAGCCAGGGCTACTTATAATGAATTTCTTAACCTCTGCTCGGTCTAGTGTACCTTTTTGCCCCATGTCAAATTCTAAGACCTTTAATAAACAATAAAACATTCAAACTTTGTACATAGAGCTATTTCAAATCGTCTGATTAATGGCTCTCCTGGTCAAAACAACTTTTGTTTAACATAACTAAAACTATGGAAATTCTACTTTTCCTGGTTACCTCTGTATTGTTTTTTCCTGCTTAACTGATCACGCCATGCACCTGGTCCTTTAATGTTATGTAACAATCTCTATAAAAATAAAGCCTAAATCAAACTCTGAGAGTTCGGTCAGACCCACAGAGGCTGGCTAGTTTCTGGCATCCAATCGGGTACCTGACTCATCATTCGTCTCCTGCGCTGTCCATCCTCTGGGGACCCTGAACCCTACCGAAGCTGGACCCCAGCAATCTCACTCATTTCTTCCTATTGTTTTTAAAACTGTGGCTACCAGAAAAAATTAAATCACATGTTGTGTGGCTACACTGGACACGGCAGCCAGGGCACTAGTCTGTCAGGGGTTGGAAAACTATGGCTAGTAGGCCACATCTGGCCTGCTGCCTCTTTTCATAAATATGTTTTACTGGAACACAGCCATGCTCATTTGTCTATGTATCACCTACAGCTGCTTTTGTACTGCATTGGCAGATATCAGTAGTTGCCATGGAGATGTCAAAGTCTGCAAATCCCAAAATATTTACTATCTGGCCTTTTACAGAAAAAAAAAAAAATCTGGCCCTGCTCTAGACTGTAAGCAACATCAGTGTTCATTCACTGCACCTAGAATGGAATCTGACACATAGTAGGTGCTTCATAAACATTTACAGAATAAACAAAATATGTTATTTTTAATTTTTTTTTTGGTCACCCTCTACTAGTCTAGGACTCTGTACAGGCAGGGGCAGACCAGGCGAATAACAGTAAGAGTAACGAATTACTAGCACTTATTACGTGCCATACACCATGCACATGGAGAGGCATCGTACACCTGGGCAAGCAATCATGCATACCTGGCAGTTGGCCCACATCAGGTTGAGACCCCGGCTCTAAAGCTTACAAGCTGTATGACTTTGGACAATTTTTTAAACCTGTTTGTGCTGTCTCCTTACCTACAAAATAAGGGTAACAGAACCCCTTCCTAGGGTTATGAGATCTAGTTAACTAAAATATAAATAGGCTGTGCTGATCACACAGTGAGGATTTAAACATTGTTTGTGACCAGTAAAACCAATCACAATGTCTAAATCCTTGCAAAAACCATTAACAGCTACGATAATCAACATTTCTACAGAACTTATTATGTGCCAAAATTAGCTCATTTTATCATCGCAGCAACCTCTTCATGTTTGACAGAATGTAGACACTAAAGCACAACGGGGAAGGCAGGATTTGAAAGCGGCTCTGCGTCCTTAACCCCTACAGGCTCCAGAGTTCTGCGTCCCTAATCGCCTAGAGGATGTTACCTCTCAGCTCTCAACATCATCATTCTGCAGCAGGGAAAAACATCCCCTTTCGACAGGGTGTCAAAATGAGGCTCAAGCCCAGAAAAACCTGATTCCTAAACCCGCGTTCATCGTCCCATTGCCACCCAGTTCACCATTTCCTCTCTCGTTCACCTGGGCGTCGTGGAGAAAACGTCGGGGTGCAGTTCGGCCAGACCCACGCGCTCCTGCTCGTAGCCTCGCAGGGACTCAATCCAGGCCTGCACCGGACGCCGGTGTGCGGGTATCGGGAGCTCGCACTTGCGCAGCACGGGTACCTGGAGACCTGAAGCAGTTGGGAAGTCAAGGGTGAGGAACAAGGGTTAAAGCTCCCCGGAGCCACCCCTGCTGGAGCTACCCGGTCAACTTCACCCGCGCTCGCCACAAGCTCTGGCTTCTCTCGCAACTGCACTGCCTCTTCCGCCACTGAGTTCAGGCCCTGTAAATGGTGGGCGAGGGTGAGAGACGACTTCCGGACCCTGCAACCTTTGTTCTCCTATCCCGCCCCCAACACTGGCCTCACCCGGCAGCCTGGGGACAGAAGGCAGGCCCGCGCCCTGATCCGAACTAGCTGCAGCATTGCGGAGAAGATCCGCAGGCTGAGGGGTGCGGACTCCCTCCGGCCTCGCACGGCGCCTAGCGAATACGTCACGCGCGCGACACCGCCTACTTGGCTCAGATTCGGCGTCGAAAGCAGACCCGCTGGAGTAGGAACGCCTCGCCGGCCTGGCCCACGTGCCCCCACCGCCACTTCAAGACTAAACCCCAGACCCCAGTCTTCAATCCTGGATTTGACGTCGCTCTACGACCCCTGGGAATGCGACCACACAGCAAGGAGCCCCACCCATTCCGTAAACTTTATCCTCTTGGGTCACGCCCCCAAAGAAGCGGGCCACCCAGGCCCTGCCCCATTTAGCGTCCTAGACTCTCGGAGGTGGTTTTTCTCTATCCACCACCCGGGTTTTGTTTGTTTTCATGGTTCAGTCCCTTATCTCCTACCCAAAGCCCTCAGGATCGAGCCTGCCGGACAGTGCCTATCCGCTTAGATCCCCCAGGACAGGGTTGTGTCTTCCCCAGTCACCTCAGATTAGGTCTGTGTCTCCCCCTTGAGACCGGACAGGGCTGTCCTAGGAGATAGCAACAATCCTGGATTGCCTCTCTCTCGTTGCCCACTCTCTCAACAAAAATCCAAAAACTCGTTTTTAGGTTCTTTGCCACATTCTCCGCACGACCTCCAAGGGGCGCCACGAGCCCACAGGATTCTTTCCTGCCCGGTCAGGCCTGATCACTTTGCAGGCCAGGGTGGTCTGGACTGAGGTCGGTGTCTGAGAACATGGTATTACAGCCATTCTCTGTTTTCCTATCTGAAAAGTGGGGCGATTGTGGGACTTCAATGAAATAATGGAAGCAAAGCGTGCTACGCTTGGCACAAGGTGAAAACTTAATACACAGCGTTATTAGGATTGTTAAAGGTGATTTTTGTCATCGAAATGAGACAAGAGCCAAGGCAGAGATGGCGGTAGACCCTGGAGGAATTGAATGAATGATATGCTAAAGATGTGGGTTGTTGTTGTTGTTTTTTTGCATCTGATATATAACGTGGATATTTCTATGAATTGTTAATGAAAATGTACTATGTACTTTATTGTGTATTCTATCCCTGCAAAAATAACTGTGAATTGTGTTTAAAACCCCACACTCTCCCCTGGCTGGTGTAGCAAAGTGGATTCAGTGCCCGCCTGTGAACCAAAAGGTCACTGGTTCGATTCCCAGTCAAGACACATGCCTGGGATGCAGACCAGGTCCCCAGTAGGGGGTAAGAGGCAACTGATGGATGTATCTCATGCACATTGATGTTTCTCACCTTTTCTCCCTCCCTTCCCCACTCTCCAAAATAAATAAATAAAATATGTTTTAAAATAAAAAATAAAACCCCACACTCTGCAATTAAAAAAGGTCTTTAGTCCTTTATTTTGCATAATTTTATTTATTTGTTTTATGTTTGCATAGGTAATCCTCATATCTGTTAAAGAAATTTTCAAAAACTACAAAAGGATAACTAGAGTGAAAAGTCTGTCTTCTTCAACCTCTGTCCCCGCCTCCCACTCAGTTTCCTTCCCAGAAGCCACCACCACAAACAGCTGTGTGTCTCAGACCCAGTTTGCAATTTTACAGGCAGATTTATAAGTCTGTCCTGTGCCAGGGAGCCTAGATTTTATGTAGTGAATGATGGAATGGCACTTAGTTGCTTCAGGATTAATTAGGCACCTTTTGTGTAACACTGGGGTAAATCCAGTAACAACCCATGAAACAGTGCAGTGAAGAAGGCTGAGGGACCACAGTGGGGGAGAAAAGAAGTCTTCAGGGTGTGTGGGAACCCAGCGAAGGAACTAATGGGTGAGGATCAGGTTTCTCTGAAGCCGTAACCTAAGAATTAATGATTGAGAGTCCACAGGCAGTTTGTCCAGAGAAAAAAAAGAGTTCCAAGCTGAGGGAACAGAAGTTACAAAGACTGAAGTGGGGAGAGTATGGCAGGACAGGGTGAAACTGGACCTTCCTGATGGCTGCCATGTTTTGTTCGTCAACTCATTTATATTGATACCACCTCAGGGTCTTTGCAAGAATATCCCTGAAAGAATGACTGTGGGTATGTGTTTAAAATTCCACACTCTTCCTTCTGCCTAGAATGTATTTTTCCCAGAGCTCCACATGACTGGATTCCTCACTTCCTTGGGTTCTTTGCTCAAAGGTCATCTCCATTCTAATACGTTTAGAACGTATTTTAAATGGGATGACTTCTTTACCATCCCATTTAAAACTGCAGTCCCCACCCCTGGCTCTTTTGGCCCCCTTATCATGCCCTATTTTTTTTATTAGTATTTATGTCCTAACCGCCTATATAATTTCCCCTTTTTAAGAAAAAAATCCCATTAAAATGCTTTTTATCTATCTCCCTCATTAGAGTATAAATTTCCCCAAGGCAGAAATTTTGCTCCTACCTGTTCCCTGACATAGCCCAGCACCAGCCTAGTGCCTGTAGCATAGTAGGGGCTCAAAACATGTTTCTTAAGTGAATTCCTTTTTTCTTTGCTCTGTTGCAAGAGGTTTGTTGTTTGTTTGTTTGTTTGTTTTAAAGATTTTATCTAATTTTTTAGAGAGAGGAGAAGGGAAGGAGAAAGAGAGGGAGAGAAACATCAATGTGTGGTTGCCTCTCTCGTGTCCCCCATTGGGAATCTGGCCTGCATGTGCCCTGACTGGTAATCATACTCAGTGACCCTTTGGTTCACAGCCTGTGCTCAATCCACTGAGCTACATACACTGGCCAGGCTGTTGCAAGAGTTTTATCAGGAACAGAGAAAGCCTTCTCTTTGTCTCCTGGGTCTAAAGGTCTCTATCTCCCTGAAATCACAAGCACATAAAATACCCAATAAATGATTATTTACCCAATGGCACTGGAGTCACGTAGACACAGGTTCAAATCCAGGGACTACTGCTAATTGGCTGTGTGTTCCTGGGAAAGTGGTTAGTTCTCTTGGAGTTTGGTCTCCTAATTAGTGAGTGTGATACACATAAGCCCTCCCCTACTGAGCTGCGTAGAAGATCAGAGTTCTCTTTCCTTCCATTGGTACTCCCCACCATCTTTTTTCTCCCACAGAGGGAACCTATAAACAGGAGTCAGGTCATGACCCTCTACTGATCACAACGCTGCACACCTCTTATTTCTCTTAGAGCAAAAGCCAAAGTCCTTACTGCGTCCCACAGGGCTCTGCAGGACCTGTCAGTCCTCCTGCTCCCCTGCTCCATCACTCCGGTTTCTGGCCGCAGTGGTCTTATCACCAGACCTGTCAATCCCATGCCAGCCTCAGGGCCTTTGCACGTGTTATTCCTTCTGACTGGATCAATCTCCCTGAATATCTTCATGGCTCACTCCCTCATTTTCTAGAGGTATTTGCTCAAATGTCACCTTCTCAGGTGACACTGCCTCTAAAATCACTGCTCCCTTCCTACCCTACATTCTTCATCTGCCTTCCCTGGTGTCATTTGTTTCCAGAACATTCACCACATACTAACAGATGACATGTTCTTATTTTCCTGAGGCTTGCCTGTCTCCCCCACTAGAATGTCAGTGCCTAAATGAGAGTTCTTTGTTCCTGTCACTGCTGGCCCCCTTTGCTAAGAAGGGTGCTGGGCACCCAGTACATTCTCCATACATAGTAATTGATTGAACAAATGGAATGTAGAGAGAGCATTTTGCACAGGGCTCCCTTCCCACACCCCAACATATTGATTAGGAGCCTTAATGAAAGAGAGGTAATGACCTTGAGACCTGCATACTGCAAAGCTCAAAGTTTGAGCATTTTGGCCTAAGGCTGGGTGGAAGTCAAAAGTTAACAGGTCCAGCCCACTCCTGTAGATCAAAGGCTGAACTGCGTCAGCCTTTGTCTCTAGCGTCAGCCTGAGACCTGGAAAGGATCTCTGCTGGCCATAGGCATGATAGCAATGTAGAGGGCACACACGTCATCGTACACCTGGCCTTTCCTAGCCCCTTCCATCACTGTGCAAGGGTTTTCACTGAGGGCAGAGGTCAAGGCTGGAATATTGGGTGCAGCCCTCAGGAGATGCAGAACGTGGGTGTAGGCTTGATGGGGGGATCTGACCTATAGGGGGAGCTATCTAAAGTGCCCCTCCACCAACTGCCAGAATGTCTGCTCTATATTTTCAGGTCAGTTTCTGGGTAATGCCAAGCCCAGCAGGAGGAGTCTCCTACTGAGTCACCCCTCCACCCCAACCCCTGGGGCCGGGCCTGATTTGCATAGTCATTTCCATTCCCTTTTACCGGTAGTCCCCTTCAGTTTAGCCACAATAGGAATTTGGAGGAAAAAAGAAAAAGCACTACAGTCAGGTCCTGGCAGAGATTCAAACCTTCCTCAGGCCTTGAAACCTGGGGCAGAGCATGGGCTCACTGGGCCTCAGTTTCCTCCTCTGTCAAATGGGATATAATTGCCCCTACCTCACAGGGTTTGTGCCTACTTGAGCCCATGCACCCTCAGATCACCCATTTCCCACACTGCTCCTGCTCCATGGCTAGGAGCTGACCCCTGCACACAACATCTCCCTTGTCCACTGGCTTCTAACCGGGTTTCACCAGTGGTGGGCACTGAGGGGTAGACTAGAAAGCAGGAGGCTGGGAGAAGCCAGAGTATCTCTCCCCGACTGCTCCTGGCAGCATCTTCCACTGGACAAGGCCCCACAGTGAGCTAATTTCTAAATAGTCTCAACCTATTTACACTTTGGTTTTTTTAACCTATGTAACCCACCCCTGTATTAAACCCCCTCTGTTTGAGGTGCTTCTATTTTCCTGACTTAAGGCAGCTGGGAGGGATTTTGTTCATTTTTTGTTTTAAGATACAATTGAGATACAATAAAGCCTTCCCTTTTCAGTGTACAGTTCTGCAAGTTTCTACAAACACATGTAGTTACGTAACCACCAGCACAACCAAGATATGTTTGACCTTTTCTAGAATGTCATCGAAATGGAATACTACAGGGTGTAGCCTTTTGTGTGCAGCTTCTTTCCCTCCTTATAATGCATTTGAGATTCATCCATGTTGTTATTTATAACTAGTTCCTTCCTTTCTGAACTAGTGTTTCCAAATATATTCCTGAGTGATCTTCCGTGTAAGGCTCGGCTGCAGTCTGTCTACTCATTCCCTGGTGGAGGCAGCCACAGTGAGCTTTTCATGGGCTGGTATTTGCTGAACGTTTTAGGACAATAACTGGCACAGTATATATATGTATCAGCTGTTACTATTATGGGTTGGGGGGGTTGCTGAGAAGCGGGCCTCTGATGTTCCCCTCTCCCGTAAATGTGCATGCCTCTCTGGTCCAGAAGAGAGAGCCCACCCTTTCCAGGCTGGAAAGGGCCAAGACTGCATCTGGTGCAGACGTGGCAGGAACTGGCCTCCACTGGGAGCCTTCCCAGCCCATCCCTGAAGCTGAAAGTGGGCCCCAAGCCCACGGATGATGGAGATGAGGCAAGGCGAGGCGGCTGTAACTCCACCGCCTGCCAAGATCAGCATCTGGAAAGCTTCTCTGCAGCTGGGGCCCCTTCCCCCAGTGCTGGGGTGATGATGAGAAAGTTGGGACCTGTCTCAGACATTTCTTTTTATACAATTTCTCCTGCCAAAAGCTGAGAGCCCGGGAGTGGGTGGACGGTGGAGGCTCAGAGAGGCTTGAGGGCAGGCCTGGCCTCACTGATTTGAGGGAGCTCACAAAAATCAGAGCTCAGAGGGTTCCCCTCACCTGGATTACACAGAAGAGCACCCTGTATTACCAATGACTCGTGTGATCCTGAGTGGTATCACCCTCTGGGACAGGGAAGGGGGTCACTGCATCAGGACCAGGGGTGGGGACTGGGGCTGAAAACACTGAAACCCTCCCACTAGTGCGCACCTCAATTTCTTCATCTTTAATGTTTTTTTAAAATTTTTTTTATTTATTTACTTCTAGAGAGAGAACAAGGGAGGGAGAAAGAGAGGGAGAGAAAAACATCAACGTGTGGTTGCCTTTTGCATGCCCGTGACCAGGGACCTGGCCTGCCACCCAGGCATATGCCCTGACTGGGAATTGAACTGGCAACCTTTTAGTTCTCAGGCCTGTGCTCAACCCACTGAGCCACACCAGCCAGGGCTCAGTTCCTTCATCTTTAAATTGGGATGATGAGGAAAATGGAAAACTGTGGCGATGGTAAAAAAAAAAATCAGGGATTATCTTGGGTTTGGGGGGATGGAGGGGTGAAGAGGAAGAGCACAGAGGATTGGAGGGGAGCGAAACTATTCTTTATAGATACATGTCACTATACTCCACCAGCAGGGCCCACAGAAGGTGCAACACCAAGAGCAAACCACAGTGTAAACTCTGGACCTGGGGTGATAATGATGTGTCAATGTCGGTGCACCAGTGATAACGAAAGCACCTCCGTGGCACCATGTTGATGGTGGGGCAGGCTTCGAAGCCCTGGGGGCAGAGAGTGCATGGGGAACCACTGTGCTTTCCCCTCGATTATGCTGTGAACTTGAAACTGTTCTAAAAAGAAAGCCTATTTAAAACCATGGGGGGATGATAATATCCCCCACCTCCTAGGGTTGTGAGGGTTCCGAGAGGCGCACCCAGCGTAGTCTGCATCCTGTGAGCACTGGCCATTGTTGTCAGTGGCCCTGTAACTAGTGGAGGCTGGTCAGAGCCTCTTCACTTCTGTTTTCCCTTCCTAGTAGCTCCTCAAGGGAAGGGCTGTTTCCTTCCCATTCCACTTTTCTCTCCCAGGAGCCTCCCCAGAGCAGGGCTCAGCTTTCCCCTTGACCCCCACCCCCAGTCCAGACTACCAGGAAACCTAGGCCTGCAGTGTTTTCCAGTGCTCCAGTCTGTCCCCTCAGCTGACCCAGAGAGAGACCTAGTGTTGCCCCAGAAGTGGGAGGCGGGGGGGGGGGGAGGGGAGACAGAAGCTTGTGAGTATATCATCTTTGTCTAGGAGCCATGGCCTTCCTAACAGACGCCAGATATGCCGTAGCCTTGACATCACCCCCACCCCCGGGTCCCTGGAGGGATAGCAAACTGCTGAGCCAGCTCAGGCAAGTTAGGGGGGGCACTTCCTCCCCAGCCTTCAGGTCCCACAGACGGCTGAGATTTCCGCTCTGATAAGAACGGTACCCAGTTTTCTCTGTGGCTTGTCCCCTGTGTGTTGAACACCTGGTTTGGAGACGTTGCTCAGGCGACACACTTCACTTGGCAGAGGATTCAGTGAGATTTTGCTGAGATTCTAGTGGACCCCAGCATGATCTGGCCCAGAACTGAGCGGACACTGAAATCTGGCTCAGGAAAACAAGCAAAGTCAATGTCTGACTTTTCTTATCTCTGCATCAAAGCTCTGTTGCTCTGTGTTAGAACTATCCGGCTTCTTCTCTGTCTCCTCCATCACCCACTCAGATTTAGAGGGCAAAGCCCAATGAGCCATCACTGAAGCCAGCACAGAGCATTATATGAACATATATGCTGCATGCATATATGTAGCATTAATACATTGATTCTTAATATGCATTTCTTTTTTTAGTTTTTAAATAACAAGGCTTATTTTTTAAAAGATTTTATTTATTTTGCTTTTAGACAGAGGGAAAGGGAGGGAAAAAGAGGGGGAGAGAAACATCAGTGTGTGGTTGCCACTCATGTGCCCCCACACTAGAGACCCAGCCCACAACCCAGGCATGTGCCCTGACTGACAACTGAACTGGTGACCCTTTGCTTCACAGTCCGGCGCTCAAGCGCTCATTCCACTGAACCGCACCAGCCAGGGCTTAATATGCATTTCTTAATAATGCAAACATGCTTATCCTTAACATAAATTTGTTAATATTGATATGTTGAATAATAATATTGGTAACTTAACCATGTTATTATTTATTTATACTATTGATGATGATGATTATTATTACAGGAATGATTTTACAACTAGAAGTTAGGTCATTTGTTACCTTTTATTTGATTTTTCAGGTCTTTGTAAATTTTTTGAATTGGTAATATGAGCTAAAAATTTCAAACAGCTCCCCAGTGCATAGTATAAAAAGTCTGGCACCTTCTCGCCTGTTCCCTTGCTCTGCCCCCCCCCCCCCCCGGTTCCCTTCCCCAAGTTTAACCACTGTGACGCGTGCCATTTTTGGTTTTTGTTTTTTTAGGGGACAGCTCAGAGTCCCCCACAACCACAAAGTCCGCAGTTGAGTTTCCCACATTTGGGGAAATCCCAGGGATCAGCACATCTGGAAGGCAATGGGTGAGCCTCACCCTGGGAAAGCCACCTTTGCGACTCTGGTTTCTTCCCTGTCAGGTGAGTATGTGTGACAGGTGTCTCGTGCCTTCTCCCAGAGATGGCCTGTGGGCAAATACACAGGCAAATGTGTGTGTATTTATACAGCCCTTATAAATACACCCAGGAGTTCAAGCGAACAATGCAAACTGGTCTATATTATGCTTTTTTCAACATAACGTGTTGAAGACAGTTTCACATCAGTACAAATAAGGCTACTCTAGCCCTGGCTGTGTGGCTCAGTTGGTTGGAATGTTGTTCTGTGCACCAAAAGGTCATGGGCTGCATACCGGGCAGGGCACATACCTAGGTTGTAGGTTTGATTCCTGGTCAGGGCATGTACAGAAGGCGACCGATCGATGTTTCTTTCTCACACTGATGTTTTTCTCTCTCTCTTTCTGTCTCTCTAAAATCAATAAACATATCCTTAAGTGTGGATTTTAAAAAGCAAGATGACCCATTTTAATTTTGAAATGTGCATTAATGGATCCATTTTAATTTCCTTTATCATTTTGCTTTTCAGCACTATTTATGAGGCATAGTATGCATTCAGAAGAGTACACCTACTTCTTTAAAAAAAAAGATTTTTATTTATGTAATTTTTAGAGGGGTAAGGGAGGGAGAGAAACATCAACGTGTGGTTGCCTCTTGCACATCCCCTACTGGGAAGCTGGCTTGAAACCCGGATGCGTGCCCTAGACTGAGAATCCAACTGGCCACTTTTTGGTTTGCAGGCCAGCAATCAATCCACTGAGCCACACCAGACAGGTACACCTACCTCTTTTTTATTGGTTGCACTGTCTGAGTATGAAGCAGCTTTCATTTTTTTCAATCTCAGCTTTATTGAGATATCATTGACATATAAAACTCTAAGATATTTAAAGCACATTTCATAGTGATTTGATACATGTATACATTCTGAAAAATTCCCCCACTGAGTTAATGAACACATCCATCACTTCACATATTTATCTGTGTTTTTGTGTGTGGGGTGTATGTGTATGTGTGAATAGGTAAGTCCTACTCCAGCAAATTTCAATTATAGCATAAGTATTAGTAACTATAGTCACCATGTTTCACGTTAGATTCTGAAACCCTATTTATCTTATTGCTGAGAGTTTGTATCCGTTTGCTAACCTCTCCCTATTTCCTGGACTCCAGCCCCAGCAACCACTTTCCTACTGTTTCTATGAGTTCGACTTCACTCTTTAGATTCCATATAGAAGTGATACCATGCACTATTTATCTTTCTCTGTGGTTTATTTCACTCAGCATAATGCCCTCAAGGTCCACCCATGTTGCAAATGACAGGGTCTTCTCCTTTTTCAAGGCTGTATAATATTCCATTATATACAGGGTCTGGCACAAGTGACACTCCTGTTTTATTACCAAATCATAAGCATGTAGTTCTGTAACACAATATCACACTCAAACACACCATATGACATTTTAGGTGAAATGTTCAAATGAAAACTATAAATTATTACACCCATATTATTACCCTACCAACCACACTCAAGCAGGTATTACTTCTGCCAGGCCCTGTATATTTTGTATATGTGGAATTATAAGTGGAAAATTATATATATGGACATATATATCCATATACATACATCACACTTTCTTTATCCGTTCATCCCATGGAGAACACAGGTTGTCCCCATGTCTTGGCTATTGTGAATAATGCTGCAGTAAATGTGGGCATGGAGATATCTTTACATCATTTTGCTTTTTTGAAGTATAATGCACACGTAGAAGAGTGCGCCTGTCCTTTCCCTTCCTTTTATTGCCCTGTCTGGGAATCAAGCAGGCTTAATTTTTAAATTTAATTTATTATTGGAATGATTAAACATGTTACAAGCCCTGGCTGGTGCCGTTCAGATTGAACCTGTGAACCAAAAGGTCACCAGTTTGATTCCCAGTCAGGGCACATGCCTGGGTCCTGGGCCAGGTCCCCAGTTGGGGACAGGCCAGAGAAAACTGATGCATGTATCTCTCACACATCCATGTTTCTCTCCCTCTCTTTCTCCCTCCCTCCCCCTCTCTCTAAAAAATGAATAAGTAAAATCTTAAAAACAAGATGTTACAATAATATGCATATGTTACAATGGTGAAAAGAATTCAGAGAGTGAAATCAGCCTCTGTCCCATGCATGCCCTGTCTCCATCTTTAAGTTCCTCTTCCAGGAAATTTACCAATTTTTTCTTCTTGCAATATTCTGGATATTCTGCACACACCCAGTAGAACATCAGCTTGGTAGGACAGGAAGTTTTGCCTGTTCTGTTCCTTGATTTGTCTCTATCCTTTAGAATAGTGTCCGGTACATACTGGACACAGATGTTCAGTGTATTCGGTAAATGAACATATAAACAGGTTATATATGCATTTTCACAAGCAGTACTCTCCTAAAAGGCTGAGTGAGGGAAAGGAGTCAACAAGAGCCAGATAGAGGGCCTGGCAGGGTGTTCAGTTGGTTAGAGCATTGTCCCAGCACACCAAAGTTTCGGGTTCCATCTCTGGTCAAGCACATACAAGAATCAACCAATGAACCCTGGTCAGGTAGCACAATTGGTTAGAGCATGGGTCCAGATATGCCAAGGTTGTGGGTTTGATTCTAGTCAGGGGACATACAAGAATCAAACAATGAATGCATAAATAAGCAGAACAACAAATCAATGTTTCTCTCTCTCTCTCTCTCAAAAAGAAAAAGAAAAGAACCAGATAGAGTATTGGTTCCAACTTGCCAGGCAGGGCCCAACCTGGGCTCGCTGGTCATCGGGCAGCGAGGGCAGGACAGCCATGCACAAAGGCAGGGTAGGATGTTGGTTGCATCCAGTCTTCTAAGGGAGAGAAGGCAGTGCCTGAATTCTGAGATCCTGTCACCGCTGAAAACAGTTCTGTATTTGGGACAGGGCGTGGCAATTGGTAGGAACTTCTTTTTTAAATGAACACACACTAGGCACTTAATGCCTATTTACTGCGTTGACACACAGTAGGTGCTTCATGGCTCCTTGTAGAATAAATAAAGGGAATCCCACGCCGTCCTCCAATTCCAGGGTCCCAGCGATGGGCCGAGAGTACACCTTTACTTGAAGACAGTTGTTTCAGGTTTCGGCCACCTGGCCAGGAGCAACGTACAGTCACGGGGCTGAGTGACGTCACGCTCCAGCAGGTTCTCACGGGAGGCAGCTGGGAGGAACAGGGCGGGAGTGGTCGGGTGGGGGGAGTGGCGCGGACAAAGGGACCGGCTCACCACCCCCACCGGCCCCAGCGCGCTCCGTGCTCGCAGCTCACATCTGGAATTCATTGCAGCTACCGCCGGAAAGGGGCGGAGAGGAGGGCGGGGCGAGTGGGGGGCCAAGGCTGTGCCTCTCCCCGCCCCCCGCTTCATCCAAGTCCCAAGCCCCGGGACGCAGCCGAGCCCGGCGGGCAGCCCCAGCCCCAGCCGCGGCCGTCCCGGGGACGAAGACGCCAAAGCCCCTCCGGCCAGGGCAGGGACCCGGGCCCGCCTAACCAGGTGAGCTTGTTTGGCGAGGGGAAGGCAAAAAGGCGGCCCCGTCCTCTTGGGTCGCGGGATCTCAGCCAAGGGGCCCGGCCGGGGAGCGGGGGCTCACCGCGGCGCGCACGCGCCGCCGCGCTCCCGCTGCGCTGAGGGAGTGGTCGTCGTGGGCCCTCCCCACCACTCCGGGCGGCCGGCACGGCCTCGACTGCGAACCCCCGGACTGCACTCCCTGCCTTACCCAGCGGCAGGAAGTTAGTGGCGAAAAGGCGGAATCCGAGCGCTTTGACCGGAGACTGGAAGTCAGGACAGCTTGCCCGGGGAGTTTGGGGAGTGTGTAGGAGGTGGGTAGGGCGCCCCTCTAGGCTGACTCCGGCGGGGCAAAAGGTGCTGTACGCCCGGAGCCTCCAAGCCAAAGGGGCGGGTCTCCGGAGGAAGGCACTCGTTCGCTACACATCTGGCTCTCTGCCTCAGTTTCTTCGAGTAGTCTTCTTCAGTTCCTCTGAGGGGACGTGGCTTTTTTTTTCTGGAAGGAAAGGGAACGTGACTATGTGACTCTGGCGCCTCATCTTTCCCCTGGGGCCCGGGTATGGGGCATGAGTGCAGGCAGGCGTGAGGGGCACGAGTCCCGCTCCGTCCCGGGCCCAGAAGTGCCTCGGGACCTCGCCCCCTCCTCGGGCACCAGTTGACTCACCCGGGGATTTCCACCCTCTCCCCCAACTCTGTTCTAGTCAGACGCTCCAGGCGCCACGCGCTGAGCCCACGCTCTCCCTCGCGGCCGTGCAGCATTCGCAGTGTGGCTGAGGCTGGGATCTCCCCCACCACACTCCCCAAGTCCTCTGCGAATACTGAGCCGGGGCCCCCGGCGAGACGGAGAGGGGTCCCCCGACCCCACTTGTAGATGTGGAGGTCCCGCGCGTGTGGCGATCGCAAGAGAGAGGAGGTGCGGCCCCAGGGGCCTGGAGTGTGGATACCGCGCATTCCACGGCCAGATAAGGAGGCTGAGCCTGTGGCCCGAGGACGGGGGCGGGTCCTGTCGCTGTCTCCAAGGCTTTGCCAGTCTGCCGGGTAGTGAGGACCGCCTGCAGTCAGGGGCGTCTCCAACCTCCTTTGCTGTTGTTTGGGGCTGGGCAGAGTTTAGGAGCCTCCACCCTCCAGGGCCCACTGGGGCCGTATTCACTTTTCATTGGCTTTTTTGGGTTTCTTTCATTCATCTGCACATCCATACATCCATTCATCCATCCCACATGTTTTCTGAGTACCTTCTGTGTGCGAAGTATCATTGCGAAGGGGCCACAAACGGACTTGGTCACTGACACTTGCATTCTAGTTTGGAAGCCAGACAGAAAACTTGAAATATTGTACAATCATACTTTTCCAAATTGCCAAGTGCTGTGAAGATAACAAAGAAAGGTGCTGTGACAGAAAGCGCCTGGTGAAGGTGGTTATAATAGACTGGTGGTCAGAGCAAGTGACTTTAAAACTTCAAGAAACTTGAAAGATGAGACAGTCATCCAAAGTTTGGGGGGAAGAGTGTGTCAGGTGGAGGACTGGCAGGAGCAAAGGCTTTGCGGGTGGTTGGCTGGTGGGAGGTCAGTGTGTCTGGAGTGGAATGACCCTGGGGAAGAGTAGAAAGAGGCTAACTGGGCAGGGGTCAGGCCATTTGGTGTAGTTGGGAGCCATGAAAGAGTTTGGAGCTCAGTGATATATTGGAGTCCTAAATTAAATGGCTCCCCCTGGCTGCTGTATAGTGAATGGTCATATGGGGGAACCTTGACAGCCCAAGAGAAACCAAAAGAAAGGACGGGGTACCGTCTTAGGGCAAGAGGAATGGAGGGCCTGCCTCAGTGGAACTTGAGGGAGGGGCTCCTGGAAGCCACTGAGCTTTTTCCTGCCTGCTTCCCTGCTACTCTCACCCCGAACAATCTTGATCTTTCTCTTCTCTGCAACCCCCCGTTGCTTGTCTCTCTTGCTCTGTTTCAGGCCTGGCCATTCTCTGGTTTTGAGCCCAGTGACCTCTTACTGAGCCTCTGGGAGGGAGCCAGGGCTGCCTTGCTGAAGGTGAGCTGGAGACAGGTCGTGTGTGCAGCCAAGCCTGGGAACCGACACAGGGAAGAGAAGCAGGCAAGGCATGCATCTGCCAGCCCCAACCCCAGCTGGCTTCCTCTTTCTGGAAAGCACCAACCTTCCTTAAGCTCCTGCTTTACTTAGCAAAATCCTAGTTGGGAAGATGAGATAGTATGGGTTTCAGTTTCCTCTTTTCTAACTAGTAGAGCCACCACTCCTGAGGATGCCTTGACAGACAGCCTCCAAGTGAGGGTGCAGTGCCCCTTTGTTCCCCCTTAGGGAAGAAGACAGACATTTTGGTCTGTTCCTGGGGTTCAAGGCTGAACCCACTTCTTATTTCTTCAGGAAGTGGCCATACATTGTTCTCTTGGCCACCAGATTGGAGAGAGTGGTGCCCCACTTCAGGGAAGGAGGGGGTGGCCATGAGACACGCCCTGGGCTTCTGGCCCCACCAGCAAGGGTGCTTCCCAGGCCTTGTGACGGGGCCTTGAATCTCAATTTTAAACTCCAGGAAGGGCCCAGTAGGCCAGGGCAGCGTGGGGGCGTCTGGTCGGGGTGACCCAGCGGTCAGACCGCAGTTCAAACTCTCCCCAGGGACATTCACACAGCTTTAACTCTCCTCGGAAAGAAGGGAACTCCAGCCTCCTGGAAAGGACCAGATTGGTAGTGCTGGCTGTAGAGCGCTCCCGACTTGGCCAGTCTGATGATGAGGATGAAAAGCTCAGGCCAATAATTGAATAGCTGAATGCCCTGGGATTGAAAATAAGCCAGTCAGGGTGTGGGCTGTTTCTGGCCCAATAGTGGGTCTGGTAGGGCCAAGCCAGCTCCTGTCTGGCTGCAGAGGGCATTGGGGCGCCCGAGGCCCTGTCCTGCACAGGAACAAGGGGCCTCTCTGTGTGGCGATCTGGGCAGGGCGGCATTCCCCGGGGAAGCACACAAGCCTTTCTCTGTTCTCTAACTAGGACGGATGTCCCTTTGCCCAAGGGGAGCAGCTGCCTCTCTATTAGGCCATGGTCCAGGGCACTTCTCTGAGGGCCCAGACAGAGTTGGCCTAGCGACCCCAGAAGTCCCCCATCACTCCAGGGCTCACTAGGAACCGGCCTAACCAGCCTTTCCTGGAACTCTGCTCCTGACCCACCTGTGGTTCTTGTCAGGCCTTGCCAAATATATGTCCAGGGACCTGGGGAGGGCTTTTCCTGTGCTCCACCCCCCACCCTCATTTAGCTAAAGGCTCTCCTCATGCAAGGCAGACACTGCTGCAGCTCCTCTGAGACAGCCCCCGCCCAAGCTGGAGGGAGGCCATGATGCTGGCCTTGCCTTTCATCATCCTCTCTGCCCCTCTTCCTGGCTTTCATGGAAACAAATACCGCCGCCCCCATCCCGGCAGGGCTGCACGCCCCCTCACCTCTCACAGGACTTCAGCTGCCCCATCCTCCCAGCCAAGACCTCCCAGACTGGTCTCCTGTGGCTCCCCTATCCCATCACCTCCTTCCAGCCTTCCCTACAGCGGATGTGACTGGGGATTGAGGACTCCACCCTGTTTGTTCCAGGGGCCTCACATCTGGATTTCATCCTGGCTAGGGGGGAGGGGGGTGCTAGTGCTCTGCCTACCCCTCTGGATCCTCTGTCTAAGGGCAGGGCTAGATGGTGCTGATGAGAACAGGCTGTTGGGAATCTTGTCTGGCTGGCTTAGTCAACATCCCCTCCCAAAAGACTGGGTGGAGGGCACCGAGTCCCAAGCAGTGTGTGGCAGGGAAAGGGGAGCTAATAATCTTTACTGAGTGCTTGCTATGTGCTATGGGTACCTCTGGCATCATTCAACAGGATTTTCTTATTACACCTATGAAGTGGGTTTTCTTCTCCCATTGCACAGATGAGGATGTTGAGGCTGTATACCGATTGACTTGGTCAAGATCCCACAGCGTGTCACAGTGGAGTGAGGTTTGCCTCACCCAGGATTGCCTTCAAGACCCATATCCTTTAAGATGTTGTGACCTCTGGGTTGCCAGAACCTCAGGGCTGCCCTGGTGTCTCCCCAAGACTTTATCTGGGGAGTACCCATGGCCTCAAGGCTTATACCCAGCTTAAAATCTAGGGCAGTGGGTGGTAATGTAGTGCTGGCAGCATCAAGCATCTCTTTGACCCAGGCTGGCAGGTGGCACGAAGCCCAAGGCAAGCCTTCTAGTTCCTGCCCACAGCTTGCTCTCTGGGTAGGTGGACAAGGCTTCTGGAAGTCCACTTTGTGTCCTTCATGCCATTCGTTTGGGGGAGCTTCTGAGAGGCAGTGTGGCCTAGACGTTATAGAGGTTTTGAAGCAGGTCTCTTTGGCTGTATCACTTACTAACTTCGATACGTTGGGAAAGTCTATCAATGTCTCCAGGTTTCCCATCTGTAAAGCAAGGGATCCTGAAAATTTTGACTTCATGTGGCCATTCGGTGAGGAGTGATGGGCTGGGACTCGACCCAGGAAGTCAGACCCAGGGACTCGACCTGTCCAAAGTCAGAGCCCGGGCAGCAGCCACAGCACTGACCTGTCTGTCTCTCTCTCCTTTCTGCAGCTCTGACAGCTCCATGGCCTCGGCTGGCCACTGAGCCCCACCATGGGCAACCTGTACTCGGAATACCTAAGCACCACCAAGGTCGAGGAGCACTACAATTACACCAAGGAGACACTCATCATACAGGAGACAGTCTCCCGGCAGGTGGCCTCAGCCCTCATCATCATCCTGTGCTGTGCCATAGTGGTAGAGAACCTGCTGGTGCTCATCGCGGTCGCCCGAAACAGCAAGTTCCACTCAGCCATGTACCTGTTCCTGGGCAACCTGGCCGCCTCGGACTTGCTGGCAGGCGTAGCCTTTATAGCCAATACCTTGCTCTCAGGCTCTGTCACACTGCATCTGACACCTGTACAGTGGTTTGCCCGTGAGGGCTCAGCTTTCATCACACTCTCTGCCTCTGTCTTCAGCCTCCTGGCCATCGCCATTGAGCGACATGTGGCCATTGCCAAGGTCAAGCTCTACGGCAGTGACAAGAGCTGCCGCATGCTGCTGCTCATTGGGGCCTCGTGGCTCATCTCACTGGTTCTGGGTGGCCTGCCCATCCTTGGCTGGAACTGCCTGGGACGCCTAGAGACCTGCTCCACCGTTCTGCCGCTCTACGCCAAGCCCTACGTGCTCTGTGTGGTAACCATCTTCTCCGTCATCTTATTGGCCATCGTAGCTCTGTATGTCCGCATCTACTGCGTGGTCCGCTCCAGTCATGCCGATGTGGCCGGCCCACAGACACTGACCCTGCTCAAGACGGTCACCATCGTACTAGGTGTCTTCATTGTTTGTTGGCTGCCTGCTTTTAGCATCCTGCTCCTGGACTATGCCTGTCCTGTACACTCCTGCCCTATCCTCTACAAGGCCCATTACTTTTTTGCTTTCGCAACCCTCAACTCGCTGCTCAACCCTGTCATCTACACGTGGCGCAGCCGGGACCTTCGGTGGGAGGTACTGCGGCCGCTGCAGTGCTGCCGGAGGGCGGCCGGGGTGCAAGGACGGCGGGTTGGGGCCCCAGGCCACCGCCTCCTGCCCCTCCGCAGCTATAGCTCACTGGAGAGGGGCACCCACATGTCCACGTCGCCCACGGTTCTGGAGGGCAACACAGTGCTTTGAGGGACAAATGGGCTGACAACCAGGCCATGGCAGAGGGCACCGTGGGCAGGTGCCGGGTGATTTCAGACAGAGATGTGGGACAGCCAAGCACGATGGCCACCTCAACAGACCTGGGTTGATATCGAAAATCTTTCATACCTGGGATGGCCAGTTGAGGCACTGACCAGTTAGAAGGCAGAGCCGCAGGAGGGTCCTGGAGGCTAGTGCAGTGACTGGTGTAATCCCTTCAGAACTGGACTGTGAGCAGGTCTGGGAGACCTGGAAAGGACCCGGGTGACAGCAGGCAGGCACTCAAGCAGAGCTCAGGACAGGAGCAATTCACAGCGTGGTACAAAGGATTTTATTGCATGACTGACCTCCACCCTGTGCCAGACTCTTCTCTGAATTCACTCCCCTTGTCATCTTCTGGCAACTTCAGGCCACTTTCCTGGAATCGCTGTTCTGAGGGGCTGGAGGCCTCCTCCCTGACCATCAGGGCAGCCCCAGCTAACAGCTCCCTGGGCACAAATCCACAGCTTCCCCAAATTTCACCAGCTGACACTTCAGCCACTTCTTCTCTCTCTTCTTACTCCACAAGATGCCAGGAAACCATGGGCTGGAGGGGGAGGGTGCCGAACCCCATTTTCAGACCTCGTGGGCCAGCTGCACTGTTTGGGACACAGAGAACTCACCAAGGGCTAGAAAAACCTGTCTGGGGTCCTGGCAGCAGGGCGCTGAGGAGGCCTCTGGGTCTCTCAAGGTCACAGGGTGAGACTTGGGAAACTCTTAGCTGAGGACCCTTCCACCCCACAAAACAACCACCCACAGTCTGCTTCCTCCTCCACCTCCAGCTGAGGTGCCAGATCTCCTAAGGCAGGGCAGCCTTGAGCCCGCTGTGCCTCCTTTCAAGGTGCATTGGCTGGAGTAGGGAATGGAGGTGCTAGGGACATTTGTAGGGGCTCTCCCCTAACCTGCCCCATCAGGGCTTTGCTAAATCCTGTGGATAGATAGAAGAATCGCTACGGTACAAACATATATTTATGTGTGTCAGCCAGTGTCCGTGTGTGTGTCTGTGTTGGTGTAAGTGATGCCTGTGATGCCCTGTCCCCACTATGTTCCCCCAGAATGGATGCTGTTCTGTCTCCTTATGTGTGTGTTGAAGCTGCCAAAGAGGGGCCTGGCTCCAGACAGACCCCTTTGTAATCGCTGGCTCGTTTCCCCACTTGAGAGCTGGGCTGCAGCTCACCTTGGGGAAGGAAACAATATGCCTCAAAATAATTTTTTGTGAATCAAAGAAATCCTCCCAGCAAAGGCTAGGAGGGTCTTTGGTGGGGGCAAGGAGCCGGTTGGGGGCTTGTTTCCCCTCCTTCTGCTCCCCAGATGTCCCTCCAATGTCTGAGACGACCCAGGCCAATAAACGGTTCAATCGCTCTTTCTGATGCCTGTGTCTTTTCAGGTTTAAGGTGGTAGTTCCCCTGTTAGCGCCCTGTGGCTGGGGGTGAATGGGATGGAGGGTAGCTGCTGCCCAGGCAGCTCACCACCTTTTGTCAGCCTTTCCTTTCTGAGCCCCCCCCCCTCACCCTGCCCAGACCAGGGCTGCAGTGGCTTCTGAGGAAATGGGACCAACGCAGGCATCTCCCCAGGGCAGTTGTCTGCGTCCTCCTTGCTTTCCTTCAAAGGAAGATCTGGTGGGTGGTGGGGGCCCCCTTCCCCATCCCAAATACATGTCCCTCCCTTGGAGCTGGAGAGATAATTTTGGGGACTCCAAGCCCAGATGGCCCTTCACATCTCCATGTTCCTCAGAGCAATGGCTGCCCGAGCACTTTCCAGGCGCAAAGAAAGGATGCGAATCCTCAGGAGGTGGGAGTTACTATAAAATCCTTTTATGGAGATGGGGGTTCAGAGAAGTTAAGTGAGCTGCTCAGGATCACACAACAGTCGGGGCAGCACCTGTCTAGATTGGAACTCAAATGGGCTGATTTGAGATCCTGCCAACTCTACCAGTGAGTGGGCCAGAGAGAGTATCCTCAACACCCTCTGTGCCATGGAAATGTGGGCCGCTAGCCCCAGCCAGCCCCATGCAGAACAGGGGAACACAGTGAGGTTCAGGGTCCCGTGGCTCCTTTAAAGATCTGAGCTTTGTTTGGGAGAACAGACCCCCCCAGCTGAAGCCTCGCCCAGCAACACCAGCACAAATACTAAGGCAGCCAGGGAGAAGGGAGTGAGGTAAACAGAAGTTGGAGGCTGAAAGGCCTGCACCCGCATCAGGATTCCCCTTCCTCCAGCAGTGCAGAGGCATCCTCTGTTTGGAAACCTGGGCTCTTGCTGAGATTGGGAAGGAGAGGCGTAGGCCAAGCAGGAATCAGTAAATTTCTCCCAACTACCCATGTGCTTCCTCCTCCTCCTCCAGGCCTTCGCTAAAATGCCACCTCCCTGTTGAAGCCTGCCCTGATCTCCCTCTTCCCTCTCAGTCGACCCTTTGCCTATTTATTACCTGGCAGTGTATTATATAACAGTTTACCTGTCTTCTTCCTTTAAAACAAGAAAAACGAAGATAGGCTTGCATCCGTGTTATTCGCCACTGTGTCTCTAGCGTGTTAAACAGCATCTGGCATATTCCTACCACCGGACCTTTGCGCCTGCTATTTCCTCTGCCTGAAATGATCTTCCCCCAGACATCCTTGTGACTCCCCCCTCCTCCTTCAGATCTATATTTAAATATCACAACCCAGGTAAGGCCTCTGGCCTTGCCATGCACGAGTTTCTTTTCCTACCTGCCTTTCTTGCTACTCTTGAACATGGAACACATTTTGCTTCATCCTGTTTATTTTTTACCTTCCCCTTTAGAACGCTAGTCCCATGACAGCAGGGGTTAGTGTCTGTCTTCACTGCTTGGCCTCAGAACAGTGACCGGCACACAGTAGGTACTCAGTAAGTGTCTGTGAAATAAATGAAAGTAAAAGCAAATGATGGTCATTTCAGTAAGTGTTCAGTGCTGTGAAGAAAAAATAGTGGAGGCGACAGTTTTGGGGTACTCAGTCACTAGCATCAGCACCCTTAACAGGTGAGGAAACTGAGTTACAGAGAGGTCAAGTGAATGCCCAAGGTCACATAGCATGCAGGTGGAAGTGTCCAGATTTGAACCCAAGCACTCTTGATTGAAGATCACAATGATATCTGATCCTTCTCAATATCCCGAAGATCTACTTTACTGGTATCTCCAATATTGGGGCTTAGAATGGAAGGGACCAACTTAAAGGGCTGCAAATGACTTTTACTTCCTTTTCCCCTAATGAGGCTGTTGGATATTAGAAAGCACCAGAATAATCTGGAAGAACCTATTAAAATGTAGATTCTGCCCTGGCTGGTGTGGCTCAGTAGATTGAGTGCAGGCCTGTGAACCAAAGGGTCACCAGTTTCATTCCCAGTCAGGGCATGTGCCTGGGTTGCAGGCCAAGTCCCCAGAAGAGGGTGCGTGAGAGGCAACCACACACTGATGTTTCCCTCTCTTTCTCCCTCCTCCTCTCTAAAAGAAAAAAAAATTGTTTTAAAGGAAATAATGCAGATTCTTAGACTCTGCCATGAGAGATTCTGATTGAATGGGTCTAGGGTGACCCCAGCAATGCTCGTTTCTCAACAAACACTTCCAGGTGTCATCTTGGGACTATAGTCTAAGAAAAGGTCTAGACTCTGCAACCTCAGCAGAACTTTCCGCAGGGAGGGAACTGGGCCATATCTGCCCTGCACACTTGTGGGCAGTTTAGCACTTGAAATATGATTAGCGTGATGCAGGAACTACTGTATTTTGCCATGTACAATGCACTCTCGTGTATAATGTGTGCCTACATTTTTGTGTGCTTTATACATGGGATTATTATACTCATGGCATGTAATTGTTATACCCATGTATAATGCAGATCTTTATTTTGCCCTCAAAAATTTGGGCAAAAAAAGTGTGCATTAAACGTGGCTAAATATGGTTAATTTTAACTTTAAACTGATAAGAACAGATACTGCACTTGATCTTAGCCAAAAGGCCGAGAAGCGATGGTAAATTTTAACTTTAATTAATTCAAGTGTAAATAGCCACACATGGCCATTAACATTTCTCCACCGTGAATCTCTGGTTTCTGCAGCCTCAGGGCAGCTGAACTCTCTGGGCATATGCCGCTAATTCAACAAAAATCATGTCTCACCATCATCATCATTATTATTATGAGCAACATGGTAGCTTTCTTATGTCACTTCATGATTTTTGGAATATTTTTTGAATAATGATATCAAGATTAGTCTCAGCTGCAAATGACAGAAGACACCAAATATTAGTAACTTAAGAAAGAGAAATGCATACCTGACCCTTGGCTGAAGACTTCATCCACGCACATCAAATAAATGGGCTCTGGGGCTTGGGAGTTAAAAAAAGAAAGAGAAGTGACTTTCTCATATAAAAGGGTTTCAGAGGAAATTGGTCCTGGGTAAGAAGGACAGATGCCTATTCATTAGCATCCAGGCTGCTGTCTGTCCATTCGTCCCTCCATCCATCCGTCCACTGAAGTCTATCTGTCTGTGTATCTATTTATCTGTCTGTCATCCATCCACCTAAATACTTTCTGTTTCCTAAGAACAAAGCACTCTCCTATATAACTTCAGTAAAACTATCAAAATCAGGAGATCTGCAAACCTTAATCAGATTTTACTGATGGTCTCATTACTGACCTTTATAATCGCAGGAGGAAATCCCAGACCACCTGTTACATTCAGTTGTCTTTTCAGTGTCCTTCAGTCAGAACAGTTTCTGAACCTCTATCTTTTGTGACCTTGGCATTTTTGAAAAATATAGGTCAGTTACTTGGTAGAATGTCCTTCAACTTGGATTTGTCTGATGTTTCCTCATGATTACATTCAGACTATGCTTTTTTTTGACAGAAATAACACAGAAGTAATGTGTTTTTCTCACTTAGTCTCATTACTAGTCATGTTAACTTGGATCACTTGGTGGTGTCTGCCAGTTTTTGCACATTAAAGTTATGATTTCCCCCCTTGTAATAACTACTTCGTGGGCTGGTATTTTGAGACTCTGTAAATAGCCTGTTACTTATCAAACTTTTACTCCTTTATCATCCATTCTTGTCTGAATCAATTATTACTCACCAGATATCTTTCAGAAAATTGCAGGACATCACGTGATTTCATTGTAGATAAGCCACTTTTTATCTTCAAAAGAAAGCAATACTTTTTTTCAACTTAACCACAATACCATAATTATGTTTACTAAAAGTATCAACCAGTGTTAAAATTTCCCGCTGTTTGTTTTTATAGGTGTATCTATTTTTTATGCAATCTGTATAAAAATACATTTATTCATAGTATGGTTATCACACATTTTCTTGCATTTCTGTCCTCTCAACTTGTTTAGTAGGACTGGAAAGTAGATTGAAATCTACTTTCCTTCAAATTCTCATTCTGATCTTACTCTTATACGTTAACCTCCCGTAAACCATCTAACCACTGTTTTCTTTTTTTTAACATTTTATTTCTTTGAATTAGAATGCAAATAAGGCCCTGACATGGTATTTAGTGAATTTCTTAAGTTTTCCTTGTTAAACAATAGATTTAACTACCTATTTAACCTTGTTTAATTGAAGTTTATAATTCATTTATTGAAGAAACCAGGTTGTTTGCCCTGGAGAGTTTCCTAATTTGGTGTTAATTGATGGCATCCCCTTATGTCATATTGCTCTTCCCCAGTCCAATTTAAGATTGATAGTTTTGGCTCAGAGGTGGTGCTGAAAAGTTCTAGCAGGAGAATATGATATCTGGCTGTTTCTCTATTTTACTGATGACTAAGACTAGTCGGGGGTTCAGATGGCATCAGTCTGAACCTGCCTTGTAAGTTCCCCATCCAACTGTTACCTGATGGTGTGATCGTCCATGAACAACTGACTGTTGTCTGGACCCATCGCTGCGTGAGCAGTCTTCAAAGAGTTTCTAATCTATCTCCCCACCCTCACATCCCACCAGTTTTCTCATTTGTCTGCAAAGCAAATGTACTTTCCCCCAATTCAGACATCCAACATTCATCACCTTTCCCTAAGTGTCTTGTCCAGGGTTAGTTAAATCTGTCAAAAAGGGGAAATGATGGGTGGATGTGATTCATTTCTAGTGACAATTGTGGTATAAATGGTGACTGCATTGTCTAGTGTAAAGAAAAAAAAATAGATTCAAATCTTAAAGCAACACTTGACAACCCAAGTAGACCTTCAGGTAAGTCACCTAACAAGTCTCAGCTGGTTTCATCATCTGTAAAAGGGTTGTATCAATAATCCCAACCCGAATGCAAAATGGTACTTCCACTTTAGCGAACAGTTTGGCAGTTTCTTACAAAAGCAAACATAAGCTTACCACATGACCCAGAAATTTGACTCCAGGTACCTACCCAAGAGCAATGAACATGCATGTCCATACACAGACGTGTGAATGCTCAGAGCAGCATTTTTCCTAATAGCCTTAAAGTGGAAACAACTCGAATGTCCGTCAGCTGGTGAATGGATAAACAGGTGCGGATCATCCATACAATGGAATAAAATTCAGCAATGAAAATGAATGAAATAGTCACACACACAATAACATGGATAAAACTTAATTATGCTAAATGAGAGGAGCCAGACAAAAGATCACATATTGCATTATGTGATGGTACATAATATGGCCATAAGAGACAAATCTATAGAGGCAAAGAATAGATTCGTGGTTGCCTAGGGCTGGAGGTAGGAGCTGGGATTTACTGGAATCAGGCATGAGGACTTTTATCGGGGGGATGAAAATATTCTAATCCTGGATTGTGGTGATAGGTGCACAACCTGGCAAATTTACTAAAAGCCATGAATTTTTACATTAAAATATGTGAATTTTTTGTGGTGTGTAAATTTCCCTTCAATAAGCTTGTTAAAAAAAGAATCTGAACTTCTCAAAATACATATTCAATGCCCTGTTTTATTCCTACCCTCAGAGATCTCACGTTCTAGACAGTCTATAAAAATAAATATATAATACAATGTTAGAACATTTCCATTACGGAAAACAGTATGGGTTCCTCAAAAGATTAAAAATAGAACTATCATATGATCCAGCAATCCACTTCTGGATTCACGTCCAAAGAAAATGAAAAGAGTATCTCGAAGCTATACCGCGCTCCCATGTTCATTGCAGCATTATCCATGGCGCCAAGATATGAAAACAACCTACGTGTCTGTCAATAGGTAAATGAATAAAGAAAACATGATACACATGCCATGGAATATTATTTAGCCATAATGAAGAAAATCTTGTCATTTGTAACTGTATGGGTGGACCTGGATGACAACATGTTAAGTGAAATAAGCCAGACTCAAAAAGACAAATGTTGTATGATCTCATTTATATGTGATGTCTAAAAAAATTGAACTCATGGAAGCATGGACTAGAATAGTGGCTGCTCGGGGCTGGGGTATGGGGGAATTGGGGCAATATTGGTCAAAGTGTACACATTTTCAGTTATAAGATAAATAATTTCTGAGGATCTAATGTACAACATGGTGATTATAGTTAATAATATTGTATTGCAGACTTGGAATTTGTACTCTGGCTGGTGTGGCTCAGTGGATTGAGCTCTGGCCTGTGAACCAAAGGGTCGGTGGTTCAATTCCCAGTCAGGGCACATGCCTGGGTTATGGGCCAGGTCCCCAGTAGGGGGCACATGAGAGGCAACCAAACATTGATGTGTCTCTTCCTCTCATTCTCTCTTCCTTCCCTCTCCTCTAAAAATAAACAAATAAACTCTTAAAAATTGGATTTTGCTAAAACAGTAGTGATCTCACTACACATAAAAATGGTACCTGAGATGATGGATGTGTTAAGTATCTGGATTGTGACAATCATTTCACAATGCATACATATGTTGAATCATCATGTAGTACACCTTAAATATATGTGATTTTTAAATAAGATTTTATTCATTTATTTTTAGAGGGGAAGGGAAGGAGAGAAGGAGAGAAACATCAATGTATGGTTGCTTTTTTGGTGCATCCCCTGCTGGGAACTGGCCCCTGCTGGGAACTGGCCTGCAACCCAGGCATGTGCCCTGACTGGGAATCAAACCTCGATCGTCTACTTCTCTCAATCCACTGAGCTACACCAGCCAGGGCAATATATGCGATTTTTATTTACCCATTATACTTTAACAAAGCTGGGGGAAATTGCTTCTTAAACTTTCACAAGGGGGGAGCTTGTGAAAAAAAAAATACAGCTTTCTTGGCTGTACCAGGGCCCAGAGAATCCGATTCCAGAGCCCAGGACTCTGCATTTTCACTCCACACCACTTCTGATGTGAACCATGCATGACTTACAGTTTTCAAAATGCTGTTTCGAGGGCTGTTTTAGGGCCATAAGGTAGTGCCTGGAGAAACTATAGGACAAGGTCATTGCTTTGTCATTTCCTTGATGCTAAATCAGACATTCTCATTCAGGATGACTCCAAACTCCCAGGAGACATTTAACAATTATGGAGACATTTTTGGTTCTCCCACCTCGGGGTAGGAGCACTACCCCCAGGCATCCAGTGGATAGAGGTCAGACACATTGCTAATTGCCCTGAAATGACAGGGCAGTTCCCTATGACAAAGGGTTATTTGGCTCCAAATGTCAGTGATGCTCAGTTTGAGGAACAACCTGTGCCCCTCTGGCTCCTTCCACCTGGTCAGCTGGTTCAGGAGCCCTAGGCCACAGCTGAAAGAGTGAGGAAACTTCTAGAGACTCTCCCAAACTCTTTGCCAGGGAGTTTGAATAACTTGGTGATTACCTTTGGAGAGGTAGTTGTGGTTAATTAGTGGTTATTTCCAGGTAGGCGGTGCTTCACATGAAGTTTCTCTGATTTAATGGTGAGGGCAAGCCCAGTTCTCATCCCTGCTCTGTGTAGTGTGGACGACTTTCTTTGCAGTTCAGGAGCCGACGCTGTTGTGCTTTTTTTACTTCTTGTGCCAGAAGGTGGGTGACTCTCATTCAGGTCTCAGTGCAGTTTTTCTCTAGGGTCCTGTTGGCTGTTATGGCTGGAGGCCATGGGACCAGGCAGGCTGATATGAAAGGTCGGTGGGCTGATGGAGACAAGGTGGGATATACACATATGTCTTGGAAGGAAGAGAGAAGGGAAGCCCTGGTGATGTATATAAACAAAATCAAGGGATAATGTGCTCATTTATGCCTGGCTTTTTTCACACAGCCTAATGTTTTTTGAGATTCGTCTGTAGTTTTGCACATAGATTTGTCTTTAGTTCTACAATGTTCACTCCTGATGCTAAATGTCAAGGTTCTGCAAACTAAAGCCCATGGGCCAAATTCACCCCATAGCCTGTTTCTGGCTAAGAATGGTATTTATATTCTTAATGAATTGGGAAAAAATAAAAAGCAAACATTTTTGATGTGTGAAAACAGCATAAAATTCCAATTTCAGTGTCAATAAAGTTTTATTGGAACTCAGCCATGCCCACTCATTTACAAAATCACCCATGGCTGCTTTCACACTACAACAGCAGAGTTGAGTTGTTGTGACAGAGTATGGTCCACAGATTCTAAAATATTTCCTATCTGACCCTTTACAGAGAAAGTTTATCACCCCAGTGTATCGTATTCCACTGTATAAATAACTGTCATCTTTCCTGTTGGTGTTCAACATTTACATGGCCTTAAGTTGTTTGGCTATTATGAATACAGCTGCTATGAACATTTTTTGTACACGTCATTTGGTGGATATGAGCATGCATTCCAGAGCACACATTCCAGGAGTGGAGTTGCTGAGTTTTAGGGCAGGCGTATGTTTATCTTCATTAAACAAAGTCAAATTGTTTTCCAAAGTGACCGTACCACTTTGGACTCCCCCAGCAACACCAAGTTTTGCTATTGCTAACACTTAACCAATTTTCCTTTTTTTCATTATAGCCATCTTGGTATGGGTGGGAGCTGATATTTCCTTGAGGTTTCATTTTGCATTTCTGATGACTAATGAAGTCAAACAGCTTTCCATATGAGTCTTGGCCATTTGGATATCTTCTTTCATGAAATGCCTATTCAATTGTTTTGTCTGCTTAAAAGGGGAATTTGTCTATTGATTTGAAGGAGTTCTATATACATTATAGATACGAGTCCTTGATCAGTATATATGTGTGGCTTGTCTTTAAAGGATACCTTTAACAAAAAAATTCATTTTAATATGGCCTAACATGTTTCTGTG